AATTATCAAAAGGTTGGAGCCAGCCGACATTTAAAGATGCATTCAACGGATTTCACAATATTGAAAATGGAAGACCGGTGTTATCGATCCATGTTTTGAACATTTTACCATCATATATGTCGTAATACATTCCTGGAACAACATCTCTTAATCTCCAATCGTTCAATGTAGATTCGAATTCGGGGCGAAGCATTAACTCTTGCAATGAGCTTTTAAAAGACTTGTAAGGGAAAACAAATTTGGGCTTGTTCAACGGCCACTGCCTCAATGTCGGGAATGTTCCCTTCAATTTCAGTCGTTCTTCGACGTTCTATTTAGGCTGTTAATATTTTTTGTCCTTGACCTGAAGAAAGTAAGGACATGTCTTACTGTTGTTACCGCCAGACATCAGTGCATTGAAACGCATTTGTCTTTCAAAATGGTAGTCTAGTTGGTGATATGGGGCTCGACTCCTTGAGGATTTTTTTTTTAGCATTGGTCCCATTTACAAAGATGAAAAATCATTTTGGCAGAAAATAATAAAAAAAATCTGAAAAGGGAAAAAGACCTTTTTTATGATGATATTTTTAACTGTGAATCTTTTTTTTTTTCCTTTTTTTTTTTTTTTTTTTTTTTCTTAAATAAAGTTGGCGCCAGCACTACTTTCCTCGTTATTAAAGAGTGCATTTACGATCGAAAGTCTACATTATTTATGATATCTTCATATCATATAAAAACAACCTGTTTTACTTTTAGAGCACCTATCAGTGGGGTTTAGAATGTAAAATTAAGGTTCTTGCTTCGAGCAGTGTCCTGAACGTTTGTTTGTCTTACGTTCAAGTTTTCCAAAGTTGAAAATTGATGTAGTAACACCCATCCATTTTTCCTTCTTCAATAAAATAAACAATGCCAACTATTTTGACAAGGAAGAAATCGTACAGAGAAAACAAAAAAATCTATTCAGGTACACACAACTTTTTTAGTGCTCTGAAGGGTAAGAGTTTTTTTTTAAGTGTAACTGCATAATCGACGTAAAGACTTATGTGTAGACCATCACGTAATTCTAAAAAAAATTACGTTTGCAAAAATTACGGAGGTCTAGACATTTCCTTAGATTAGTGCAAGTTGTTCGATAAAAAGAGACGGGTAATGACTTATATGCACGTCCTTATTTGTGCCTCAACCATAGGTCGGGGATTCAGTCAAATAAGATAAACAAATAACGTTTTTCTTAGGGACGGCCAATTTTTCCTTTGGGGTAGTCAAAGTGCATGTAGTCACAACGTAAGATCTGTGATTTGGCTGTCCTTTAGACCTGGAAACAAGAATATACAATTAAAAACAATGTAATATTTATGAACAAATGTATATTAAACGACGTATACTTACTTTGACAATTCCACCATCACTCTTTTACCCTTTAAGCTCGTTTGATTTTAATCTTATGCAGAATTATTATATGACAGAAACTGAAAGCTATAACACACACATACTGGTTTACCACATGGTGGCTGTAATAAATTTAATCTAGTTTAAAATTATAAGTTATATTGACCTCTTGGTGTCTATTAAAGTATAATAATCCACCATTACGATAACGCGCACCCTGGCTGTCCCTATGAGACCGCCGTTTTTCAATCCCATTTTTTCTATCAAATAATTTTACTTCGATGATTGACTATTTCATCTCTCGTTTATTGATGTAGTTTTCCATCTAATGTATTCCATGTAAAATGATTCTGAGGAAAACCCCCCATGACCATATGTTGCACGAAAACAATATTAACCATAAGCGTTATATTTTAAGACGTTGACATCATTATATGACAGTACATAATGCGATTATATTTTATTTTTTTTTGATAAGCAACTCTTAAAATGGTTCCACATTTCAACTAGGTATATATAAGGGCAGACAAAGTTGCAGAATAAATTAATTACAGTAACTTTTACTCTCACCTAAAATGGTATATAAATCGAAGATTCCGGCTGTAAATGAGCCAACAATAGGCTTCCTTCAGTTTTTATTTGAAAATGAATTCAAAATTTCCCAAGATAAACCTCTTTTGATAGATGCACTCGACACCACTCGCTTTCTTACGTTCCCGCAGATAAAAAAACTAACACTTCAATTTGGTGCTGGTCTACAGGATGTCTGTCATTTTAAGAAAGGTGATGTTTTGGCCATATACGCTCCAAACCAGGTAATGCCTCAAACAGTTTATACAGTTGAATCTTTAAAATAACGTTCTATTACATTTAGTATGACTATGCCATACCTATTTATGGTGCTATTGCTGCAAGTATGTTGTATTTTTTATTTTTTTAATCCAGAGGCAATGTTTAACTCTTACTATTTTGATAGGCGGTGCTGTCACAACAATTAATCCCAATTATAATATCGAAGAAATTCACTACCAATTATCAGAGACCGAATCCAAGGTGCTCATTTTTCACTACGACAATGCCGATGTTGCACTAGCTGCTGGGACTCGGGCTGGTATTGACAGAAAAAACATGTTTGTTTTCGGTGATCAAGCTATCAAAGGTGTACAGCCATTTCGGAGCATGTTATTAAACGCGCGCGAGGCTGTTCTGGAAGATCTTACCCATAAGCAATGTAAAAATAGGATTGCTCTTCTCTGTTTTTCCTCCGGGACTGGTGGTAATAGTAAAGGTGTTATGACCACGTAAGTGCGAGGATCTAGTTTGATAGTCAAAATAACAATGTAACTAATTTTCAATATTTCATAACCAAGGCATGCAAATCTTACGTCAAATATTACTCAGTATGCTGCATTCAAAAAAAATGTTCTTAACAGTAAAGATAGCAGCCGTATGCTCACTGTACTACCATTCTATCATGCCTTTGGTTTAATGGTAAATTTAAACTATGGTTTATACTTCGGCATACCCAATTATATTTTGAAACATTTTGATATTGTAAACTTTTGCAAAGCTATTCAGGAGCACAGAATCACTTTTACTACAATTGTTCCGCCCATATGTATATTGTTGGCTAGGCACAATATCGTGTTAAACTACGACTTGACATCATTAAAGGCGGCCTTTTGTGGGGCTGCTCCATTAAGTTATGAACTTTTGAATGAAACAATGACAAGACTTCCTCACCTCATTATTAGACAACTATATGGCTCAACAGAAACTTCTCCTTTGGTAACAATTGAACCCGTCGATAAAGTGGTTGGTGGGTCGGTTGGGATACTTTTGCCAAACATGACTGCAAAAATTATGGGTGATGATGGACATGGTACATTATATGGTACATCTAGTTATAGACATGAGTGTACTAATTTCTTTAAAAAGAGATAACTAGGTATGGCGAACGAGGAGAGCTGTGGCTTAAAGGACCTAATATCATGAAAGTAATGTAACTGTGTATAAATTATGGGCGTAAATATTAACCTATTTCTTGATTTTAAAAATTAGGGCTACTTTAATAATCCTGGTGCAACCGCCGAAAGTATTGATAGCGATGGATATTTACACACAGGCGACATTGTATTAACGGATCGGAACGAACATTTTTTTATCGTTGATAGGAAAAAGGAATTGATAAAGTACAAAGGGTTTGCTGTAGCACCAGCTGAAATAGAGGGCATTTTGGTGAGATAAATTTTTGTACTGTATGATTGCACATGATGATGATATTTTTTAACAAGTATTTAAAAGTTAACCCATCCAATGATTGACGATTGTGCAGTAATAGGTGTCTACAATGATGATCAGGCAACCGAAGATCCAAGAGCCTATGTAGTACTGCGAAATCCAGCTGCGGCTTCGGAAGAAACGGGTAGGATGATCATGAAATACGTGACTGATCAGGTTGTTTATTATAAACAGGTGCGTAGTATTCGATTTGTTTCAGTTATCCCCAAAAACCCTTCTGGAAAAATTCTTCGTCGAATCTTAAGGGAAGATGCAAAGAACGAAAATATCAAAGCATGCTCGTCCAAACTATAAACCACAATAAAAATCGCACTTAAATCTAAATGATTTGTTGTGTCTTAATAACTTTGGCTGTGTTTTTGAATGATTTATGCGACGATTTTCAAGCTCAATGAAAAGATACATGACATGATCAATAAAAGTTGAAATCACGGATAAGTGGAAGTGGGCGTATAAGTTGCATTAACCAAACAAATATGATACAAAAATAGGTAAACCGGTCGATCAAAGCATGTAGTTTTCAATATATTTAATAAACCCATATTCTCAAAACTCATTCTATATTGAGATTTCGTCTATTTCAACGCAAAAGTATTAGCAAGCTTATAAAATACAGTGAGCAATCCAATGAATACAAGGGAAGGGGTGAGGAATTTGAATACTGTAAAACTATCAATCGACTAAATCGTTTACTAAAGTTTGGATTTAGATGCAAAGCTATTCAAAGCATATTCCAGATGAAGTAATTAAGTATACCCTATTAGGAATAAGTGATTTTGCGTAAGGATCCAATGCATATCACAAAAGCATAAAGGTATCATCTTTTCAGCTTCCAATACAAAGTTGATAAGATTACATTTAAAACAGACCCGTTTTAAATCCGCTCCAGGCTATGGAGATGTTTTAGACACTCGTGTACAGAATCATGCAATTATACCTCTCACGGGGTTTACTGGGTATTGAATTAAATGCTGTATTTATTTGTTTGAAGCAAACAGTATTTATCTGCGTAATTGTTTAGTCGGTATATATTGTAATATTATGATCATCAAAATTAAAATATATATATGATTTTTACAATCATCTTTAGCACGATTAGTCTAGCGATCTCATTTTTGCTTTTAAAAAACAAAGCTAACACTATTTGGTATATAATGTACCTATGGGATTGTCTGCCGATATGTTGGTAACTTTTTGAATGTAAATTAACACTTCTGTTGCCAAATTAGGATTGCATGAACATTGCATTCATTCTGTAGTATAAAGCCTCGCTTCAATTATTGATTTTTTTACACCAAAATGGTTTTAATATCCAAGATCCCGACTATAGATGAACCAGAAACTGGAATCGTTCAGTTTTTGTTCGCCAATAAATACAAGATTCCAGAAAATAGGCCTCTTTTGATTGATGCTCTGGACACCAACCGATTTCTCACTTTTGCCCAGATCAAGAAATTAACGCTTCAATTTGCTGCTGGTTTACAAGATATCTGTGAATTTGGTAAAGGCGATGTCCTAGCAATTTTTTCTCCAAACCAGGTAAAATTAAGAGGATGTGAAAAGCAGCACGACGCTAAAACTTTACTTTACTGTAGTACGACTTTTTTATACCTGTTTATGGTGCTGTTGCTGCGGGTAAGTTTTATTGGTAAAGCCTTAAAAATCGATACTAATGCATGTAGTTGTGTTTTTATAGGTGGTATAACAACAACAGTGAATCCCACTTACAATATTGAGGAATTGCATTATCAATTATCACAGACCAAAGCCAAAGTACTCATCTGTCATGAAGACAATATCAAAGTAGCTCTAGCTGCAGGCTCTCAAGCTGGTCTTAATAAAACCAACATTTTTGTTTTTGGTGATAAGATGGTCGATAATATACATCCATTTCAAAGTGTTTTGATTGGAGAACGCGAAGCAGTTCTTGAAGATCTTACCCCTGAACAATGTAAAGAGACGATTGCTCTACTATGCTTTTCTTCCGGAACGAGTGGTAGAAGTAAAGGTGTGATGACCACGTAAGTGTGTGAATGATAACTTTTATAGCTAAAAATACTAATTGATTAGGTACTTTAGTCATGCAAATCTTACATCAAATATTACTCAATATGCTGCATTTGACGAAAACGTATTTAACAGCAAGGAGTCCAATCGTATGCTTACGGTACTGCCGTTTTATCACTCTTTTGGCCTATTAGTGAATCTAAACTATGGGTTGCATTTCGGTACACCTAATTATGTTTTGAAACGTTTTGATATTTTCAGCTTTTGCAAAGCTGTTCAAGATCACAAAATTACTTTTACCACGGTTGTTCCACCAATATGTCTTTCGATCGCAAAACATGACATTGTACCAAATTATGACTTGACATCCTTAAAATCTGCTTATAGTGGTGCTGCACCATTAGGTCCGGAACTATGGAAAGAAACAATGTCGCGGCTTCCTAATCTTAAACTTAGACAGCTTTATGGACTAACAGAGACATCGCCTGTGGCTATGATTCAACCAGAGAATAAGATGCTTGCTGGATCGGCTGGTTTACTTTTTCCCAATATGACTGCAAAGATTGTGGATGATGACGGAAATGGTATAAGATAAAAGTTTAATTTAGACGGCTTGTATATTGACTAATTCTATAACCTTAAAAAAAGAGGTGACCAAGTATGGTGAACGAGGAGAATTATTGATTAAAGGTCCCAACATCATGAAGGTAAATCGAAACTTAAATTACTCATAAAATCAGCTTCCTTATGAAATAATTAGGGCTACCTCAATAATCCTGAAGCAACTGCTGAATCTATTGATAGCGATGGATACTTTCATACAGGAGATATCGTGTTAATTAATGAAGAGGAGCATTTTTTTATAGTGGACAGAAAAAAAGAATTGATCAAATATAAGGGATTTCCTGTAGCACCTGCTGAAATTGAAAGTGTCTTGGTAAGATGATATTATTCTGCTCAATAATAAATCGATCAACTAAACTATTTTCTTGGGCGGCAGCTGTCAAATCCTATCATTGCTGATTGTGCAGTTATTGGTGTCTATGATAATACACAAGCTACTGAAATTATAAGAGCCTATGTGACTTTGAAAGATCAATCCACCGCGTCGGAGGAAGTTGGAAAGTCAATCATGAAGTTCGTCGCGGAAAAAGTTGTGCATTATAAGCAGGTACGCAAGATTTATTTTGTCGCTGAAATTCCAAGAAATCCCTCTGGCAAAATTCTCCGCAGACTATTACGGGATACCGCTCAACTTGAAAACAAAAAAGAGGAAATCAACAAATCTAAATTGTAGATGTAATAAATGCTCTTTTACAGATGTCTTATCCCAGTAAAAATCCTAAATAAGACAGACAAAGTTTACGATGATGTATGCTAATTAAATGCGGAGTATTCATACCAATGTGGTATCGTCTGTATGTTATTACCATTTACGCATTCGATTTTAAAAAGGAAACCATTTTAGTTTGTGAGAATTGAGATAGTATATTCTTCGATCAAGTGCCTTTTTATTTGTTTGCTGTGGGCCTGATCGGCGGGCTGAAAACCATACATTTGATGAAACTGAAGTTGGGACAGCCTAACTAATTTTACCTCAAACCATAGAAGTAGTATTGCTATTCTGTTTGAAAGGGGCTTTAAATCGATTAAATGAGTGAAATAGCCTCTTTTTTTTTTTTACTGAGGATAGAATATTGTTTTGGGTAGCGCCAGATAACATTATATATACGAGCTGACATGGATGCATGCCTCATTGTACTTCAATTAAACAGTGATACTTATAGATATTTTCGAATGCCCTTGTGCTACTAATTACTGTATTTATGTCAGGGAGCTGTGATAAATGCACAATATATTACATACAGTTAAAATATGGAGAAACTTTATTTTCAGCATGTGTTCAGAATGATAAAGTAGTCTGGTTCTGTAACCCAAAGCCCAAATAGAATGATATATCAGTTAATGGTTTAAACCTCTTTGTTGTGGATTAGAGTTATAAATCTGCTTAGCATTATTTCCAGCATTACTTGAGATATCCGGTTCTCGAGAAGCTACATGTGCCTGCATATCACGTGCTTGTCTGTCTTGAAGCTCCCTAACGTGAAGTGGATCCATTCTTCCCTCGTCGTCTTCGTCTGTTAAATCCTCAATTTCAATGGTAGTGTTGGAAAGTTCAATATCACTTTCGGTTTCTTCATCTGTAGAAGAGAAATCAGAGTAAGAGTCCCCTTCCTTCTTAGAGTCTTCATTGTACTGTTTGACGGTTTTTCTTTTAAAGGGCTTTCTTGAAACCCTCATATTGCCGACTTTCTGAGCTGGGCCATGAGTTACTTGCTGATTATTCATTTTGAGTTAGCTTTAAAAAGTAGAGAAAAGATGAAAAAAGAAACGGAAAGAAAAAAAAATTGTTGATAAATAAACGCCATTTACCCAATAGTTCATGCAAAAATTTAAACGAATCATTTTTTCTTTTCTTTCTTCCTTTTTTGTTTGTCTTTTAGTATTGAAGTATCAATAATTTCTAGCATTAATAACTTGGATCCACTGACAGCTTCCATCATCTATGTTAATATGATGATAATCGGCCAAATCATCTTATTGGTCTAAACTTTTTAAATTGATGCAGCAATCACGTGGCAGGTACGAACGGGCGTTAGTTTTGGGAGTAAAAGACAATACGATGTTTATTATAAAACGTTCAATTTTCCAAAATAAATCTGAATCTTGGTTTACCGTCTCTAAAATCTCGGATAGCTTGATTGACATCAGCCATTTTGTATTTAGTTACCCAAGGTTTTATTTTCTTTTCGGCAGCAAACTCAAGCATGTGTTCCATGTCGGTTGGAGAGCCACCAGCAGATCCTGAGATGCTGACTTGACTAAGAACAAAATTAATAGCATTGAACTCGGGTAGGTTCCCACCAGGAGAATTTACATTCATGAAAATTCCGTTTACTCGCAAGAGATCAAAGTAAGGCTCCCCTGTGAAATTTAGATGTCGTTAAATACAGTTGTTGAGAGCGCACAATTAAAATCTTACATTTGAAGTCCTCGCCACTCCCAGTACCAAGTATGTGAGTTAGTTTCTTCCTATACTTTGCCATTTCAGATTTGTTGCTGACGTTTATAAAATCATCACATCCTAATTCATTACAGACATTTCTTTTCTTATCGTTATGAGACAATGCAATTACTGTAGCACCCATAGCCTTAGCAAACAATATACCAAAATGACCAAGTCCACCTTGTTGGATTAAATGTTAGAAAATTGTAATTTCTGTTTTTTATAAGGAATATTTTACCTATTCCCAAAACGCCTACAACACTTTTTTCATTGACTCCATTATTTCTCAGAGGAGCATAACTAGTAATGCCTGCACAAAAGAAGGAAGCGGCATCTTCACTGGCCATACTATCAGGAACTTTAAAGGCCCAACGATAATCGCCTCTCCATTTGTTAGCAAATCCACCATAAGTTTTGTCACCATTATCCCAATTAGCATTGTAAGTGCCAATAAAGCCATTTTCACAAATGTTCTCGTGCCCTTCTAAACAAGTCTGACACTTATGACAAGAATGGGCAAATGGTCCCACTCCCCCGCGGTCGCCAACTGTAAGGTTTGTGACATTTCTACCTATACGGGTAACAATACCCACAATTTCATGGCCAACAACGCATGGGAAATCTGTGGGACCCCAATCTTCATCCAAAGCATGCATATCGGTACCGCACATACCGCAATGAGTAACATCTAGTTCGACACAGTTGTCATCCCATCCTCGAAGATTTAATTCCATTTCAATAAGGGGTTTGTCTATTATGTATTAAATAATTTAGTATCAAAACTGATGTATATATGCATATGCGATCATCAATGGCTAACCTTTGGCAGTGCATGCCCATCCAATAAATGTATCGCTCATTTGAGTAAAGGTTTATAAATAATTAATTAATTGTTTGTAAAAATAAAAGAAAGAGAGACCAGAATGATCCCTTTATATATCACGGAAAAGTTCTGACTAGATATCAAAATCGTGAATGGCTATGTGTATATGACTTTTGAACTAGTAACAATAAAGGTGTAACTGAGCATTCTTTAATCACGAGTCTGTACCAAATTTTAACTATAAATAATGTGTATTATAAGTACAAAGTTTGAGAACATGCAATAGAGTTAATAGGTAATATGCGTTCTTAAATTTTGTTCCAAGTGCAGTCTTCAAATATCGTTGTTTTCCTCTGCTGGATACTTAATTTTACATATGGCCACACCAATTCGGTTAGTGACAGAGCGAAAGCAAGAATTAGCACAGGCCAAAAATTCCAAAGCAGTGCAATGATAAAGTTTGTCCGTTTAATTAATTCCACTACAACTTTTACGAAATCAAAACCTGTTATACGTTCCACATGTCTATCGGTGTAATGTGACTTGAGCATATCAACTTTTAACTTGGCCAGCTTTCATCTATACTTTTTATTACTGATTTCAGTTTATTTTAGATCTATTTAAAGATCTGTCCACAATCAATTTCCTTTATGTGAGAAAACCTAGCTAATCTTTTGTAACCGCTTGAAGCATCTACCTGTTTTAGAATAGTATATGTCTGACAGTACAAATCGATTGTCTAGAATTGTTCTGTTGATTATACTTATATGGAACATGTACGTGGACACATCCTCTGATTAAAGTAGAATTTATGAGCGTAAATATGTATTGTTCCCACATTACAGAACAGTCCCATGTTTGCAATATATTACACAAATAATGGAGTTCTTTCGAAACCTAAATGTCGGTCCTGGATGGAAAACAAGGTATCATATCTTTGAATCTTTACGATATTCATTCTTTTTAAAGCTACAGCACATTTCAAACACTATATTACTGGGCCCTTTAAATTCTACTGTCTGTAATTAATATCAAAATAACTATACCTTATTGTGCATATCTTAATAATATTTTGTTGCAGTGAAAATTTAAAAATATAGGGAGTAGATTTGAAGCTGCAAGATATCCAACTTAGACTTTGAGCGTTGGTTATACAATTTAGCTGCATACGTAAATACTTATCGATTAAGATCTAAAGAGCTCACAATAAAGTAGCTTGCTGCAATAATTTGCCACTTTGGAATCATACATACCCAATTGCTTACGATAAGTTGGGCAAGGCACCATCAAAAGACGCAAATGTAGTTATTAAATGTGTTACAATGCGAAAAATCTGGTGGCGCTTTTTCTGAGGTAGACTTGAAATTTTAAGGTTTTTCTCATTGTAAAACATAAGCAACCAAGCCGATATTTTAAGTTCAAATAGGAATTAGTAAATAATGTTTTATAAAGAAAAATAAAAGAGATAATAGGGTTCGTCTATTGCAAACAATGCTCTATCTTCTGATAGTACCACGGCCATGCACCTGGTACATATGTTCAAGTTCGGTTTCCATTGCCTTGATTTGAGCATGTTGTTCTTCAAGATCTTTGTTAAGACGATCACGTTCAGAAACCAACTATTTATAGGCAAAATATTACTATTTGTTTGTTTTTTTTAAAAAAAAAAGAGCAAAATATAACGTACCTGAGCTTCCCATTGACGGAATCTGTTTTCTTCGTCCTTAACTTGCTTAGTGAAGTTCAAACGAAGTTCATCTTCGTCATCCTTAAACTTGGGGTTTTCGTATTTTTGGAATTTTGGCTCACCAAACTTACGAGTACCCATTTGTGTTTGACGATAATTTTCATAATGGTTCTCCTCTGTTGTTGAAATTAAGTCGTGCATGTGTGACCTAACCAAAAGCTTTCTTAATTTTTTAAAGTCACAATGATCCTCATTTTCAACTTCGGCTACACCCCACGAGTATTCTCTGCCTTTAACTGTGCGGCCATCGGCTGTAGTGACATCTTGGGTTGATCCGATGATGGCAAAAGGCAAAGATGCCATGATGCTTTTATTGGACTCGGTAATCTCTTCATCTTCGCTGTCGATGGGACAAGAATAAACCTGAATGTGGTTTCTGGCAATGGAATCCAAAATCTATGACAGAATTCAGATGAGCAATCTCGTTTTCGCTTATGTATTACCTCTACTTACGTTAATTTTATATTGAGCTAAATCCTTGGGTGTAAGGGTATCTGCTTTAGCAATAACGGGGATCAAATTGACTCTTGAGCCGAGATGCTTCATTACTTCGATATCAAGAGCCTTGAGGCTAAAATTATAGCATCAGTACCAAAATAATTAAAAGTAACGAAAATAACGTACCTGTGACCAGAAGGTCTAATGAAATAGAGACAAGCATGGACTCTAAGATCAATAGCACCCTTACGAGTAGGTTGTTGTTCTTGGGCCATGAAACTCTCATGTTGATCATCAAGGAACTCATAGATAGGCATCCAACTGTTATGATTGTTGACATAATCGCCAAAACCGGGGGTATCAATGATAGTTAACTTTACTTTAAAGTTCTTTTCCTCGAGTTCTATAAATACAAGTGTGTCAATTTTTATGAAGACAGGTCGCCTCATTACTCGTGTTACCTGCTTTAGTGATTTCGATTTCAACAGTCTTTTCAATTTGCTTAGCATGACGCTTTGCCAAATTCTTATCATTCTTAATACCAGTGGTGAACAAGGTATTAACAAATGTGGTTTTTCCTACGCCAGATTCACCTTTATACCGATGTTAAAAATCTTCTGTTTTTTTATATTTTTCTTTTTTTTTTTTTTTTTTGACAGAATAAACTCACCACAAACCATTAAGGTGAAGTTAGCACCACGCTTAGAGACGATCTTGTGACGTTGGTTAGGAAGATGTGCAATACCCACACCGCTGCTGGCTGAAGGAGACATTATTTAAAGTATATTTAAAAATAAAGAGGAAGAAGTAAAAAAAAGCGAAAAAAAAAGGATGGAGTTACATTTTCCACGTTTAATCAATATTACTGATTAATAAAATTACATCTCAGCAATGAGGCGTGTAACAAGACCAGTATTCTTTTTGACAATACACCTCATGCATTTCAAATAACTTGTCCAATAGAAATTGAAAACAAACGAGTTTCTCCACCTGCGATACTTCAGACTGTTGAAGTGGACAGCATGGTGATCTTTTGCCTTTATTTACTTTTACTGCTTATTTAAATCACCGCATGCAAAATATTTGGGCTATGGTAAAATGAGCTTATGCACATTTCAAGCCTTAGCTTGTAGTTGTAAGCAATTTTATTACTAACCTCGTATGATAAGGTAAAATAAATTAGAGATGCTATATCATACATATACCCGGGTCATAATTATTATTTGTTATGTCCTGTTGCTGTTCTACAAATGGAAGGACCTCGGTCAAAAAAGTATTCAAACCAAAATAAGAGTTACACGGGATTAACTTTAAGCAATATAAAAGAAAGTGTATCCAAACATAAGCGCCATTAACAAAAAAAAAACCCCACCAGTAGTATATGAGATACTGGTGAGAATGAAATAGATTTTTGTCCAGACTAAGGCACTGTACTAAAACTTGAACAGTTGCTTTTATTTTTAAGATTCTAAATAATGTACAACAGGCAAAAGAGTGGAATCATTTACCAACCCGTCATTTCAGAAACAACGGACTTCTCTCTATCTTTACTCATTTCTCCATAACCGATAACACGCATAGAAAAAGCACCACTACCTCCAGTTAAGCTACGAAGCGCACTAGAATATCCTAACATAGAACTCAAAGGCACGTGCGCCTTAATCACCTGTTTAGGCTTATATCCATCAACGTCAGAACTGACAAGAAGTGAGTCTTCGGGTGCATAAACTTGAACGTCTTCGGAACTATTTTCAGTATCATCATTTCCCATAGATGATTCAAGCCCGATAACGTGACCTCTGCGAGTTCCGCTCAAATCACTAACAACGCTACCGATATGGTTCTCGTTGACTTCGGTATAGACCTCCATCATAGGTTCAAGGAGACATGGGTTGGCCTTTTTGACGGCCTCAAACACACCGTTGGAAACGCACGCTGAAATAGCACCCAATGTGGTGTCTTGGCCAAATGTTTGAAGATCAAATGCCTTCACCTTAAGCTTTGTTAAAGGGAAACCTAAAACGGCGCCTCTCGCAAGACCACCCAACAGACCGTTTTGAACAGCCTGTCTAACCTCTTCCGGGTTCAACTGATTGTCCTTCTCTGATACAGAGTCATCCGAGAAAGAGATATCTGCGACAGATAAATGATTTCCGGAATTTGCGACCCATCCTTCTTCCAAACCATTATTTTCGACTTGCTGGTCAAAATCTTCATGAAGAGGCGAAATCTGAACACGGCAAGCAGCACGGGCCCTTTTACCCATCACTTCTTTATCATATTCGGCACTTGCATCCGACTCTGATTGACAAGTCTCGCGGTAACTAATTCTCATTTTACCCATTTCCGCCTTCACTTTGAAGTCATTCAACAAACGATCCTTGACAATTTCTAAATGAAGTTCGCCCATACCGCTCACTAAAAGCTGGCCACTTTCTTCGTCGGTCCATACTTTAAGCGAAGGATCTTCTCTAACCAAATTCTTTAAAGCGGTTTCAACTGCTTCCTCTTCGGAGACAGATGCTGGTTCAACAGCCGAGAAAAATGCAGGGCTGGGGATGTCAATGTTGCTTAACTGAAGCCCGGATTTAATGGCTACTGTATCATTTGATTGCACAAGCGTATCACCTGTGCGTGTGTCCTTTAAACCAACAATAACACCAATGTTTCCCGCATTAATTGTTGGGATTTCCTCTGCCTCTTTAGCATACATTTGTAATAGCTTGTTCACTCTTTCCTTTGCCCGAGTGGTCGTATTGAATAAGGTCATTCTAGTATTAATTTTTCCTGAATACACCTTTACATATACCATGGGTCCTCTTCTAGCATCGTGAACTACCTTAAATGCCAATGCACATAACTTGGGATCTGTCAACGGGATCAATGCAGTCTTTCCGCTACTGTAGGTGACTAAAGCTGAGGGTCTATCTAACGGACTTGGGAGATAATCAATGACAGCATTCAATAAAGGTTGTACACCCAAGTTTTTAAAAGCGGCACCGCATAAAACAGGAACCGCCTTGTTAGATATAGTGACTCTTCTTATTGCTTCCTTCAACGGAGTCTCTTTGACAAGCATATGATCACCATCGGCTTCGTCAAAAAATATTTCTACAATATCATCATCCATCTCTGCTAAAGCTTCAACCAAAGCCGTACGGCCTTTAACGGCCTCCGTATATAGCTTCTCATCGGCAACTTCCTTTAATGGAACCCGTTTTAAAACAGAACCGTCTGTGTGAGCCGGATCCCATTGAATCATCTCCATTGTTACTAAATCCACAACAGCTTTTAATCCTTTATGTCGTTCGTCCATACTTTCTTCGTTCATGACGGGTAATTGAATGACTAAGGGGCGTGTTCGAAGCTTCTTCCACATTTCTCTTACTGTTCTTCCAAATGCAGCGCCAGTTCTATCCAACTTATTAACAAACGCAATTCGAGGGATATCATATCGATCTGCTTGTTTCCATACCGTCTCTGTTTGTGCTTCAACGCCTGCTACACCATCCAAAATGGTTACGGCTCCGTCTAGCACTCTAACGGCTCTTTCCACTTCCATTGTGAAATCAACGTGACCGGGTGTATCAATTAGGTTGATACGGTGACCTTCCCATCCAAACGTGATAGCCGCACTGTTGATTGTGATACCTCTCTCTCTTTCTGCTGCGAGATAATCCATGACTGTGTCACCATCATCAATGTCTATATTGTGTGTTCCCCCGGTTGTCAGTCTAACATGTACTTTTTTCGTTGGCTGATTACACAACTAGTTACCTCCAATACGCTTCGTCACGCCTGCATAATACAGCATTCTTTCGGACGTTGTTGTTTTACCGGCATCGATGTGAGCAATAATACCGATATTTCTTGTCTTTGGTATAGTGAAATCTTTGGAATCTGAAAATAGACATTAATTACAAGTCTATACTTTTTTATTTTTTGACATGTGCCATTTCCTTACCAGTAGCATAGGTTTTGTATTGACAAGGTAAACGACCAAGTCTTAATGTGTTGATTTTGGTCCGGCAATTTGACACCAAAAGTACCTGTTTCACCAAAGGGGAAGTAAGGTATTTGAACATTATGCCTTTTAGCCAACAAATGTAGAAAAATTAGAAGAAAAAAATTATCATGACAAAACACCGGGGGTTGATTTATTCCGGAAAAAGAAACACTATATGTTTCAGTGTAACTCAATTATGAAAAGTATGACTCTTCAAAGACAACTCAAGTTAGCATGGTTACGGTAACCCTAGTATACAAAGTACTTCATGACACTGTCTCAAACGTCAAGTCATCTCATGGATTAGCATCCTCGGAGCTCAGCCGGCTGACGGCGTTTATGGATGCATAACGTATTGTCAATTATGCTCCATAAACATTTAATATATGCCAAGTCAGTTCTGTTTGAAAGTTGAGCCTTGGGGTTCAGAGGGAGAGACAGATAGAAGCATTGTTGGTAAAAAAAAAAATTATGGGATAGTGTTGATAAATGATGATTGCCAAGGGGATTCATTATGATAATGTAGAAGCTTTAGAAAGCTGAGCCATTGAAGGAAATTGCAAACTTTTTTAACCTATCAGATAATCCTAAAAAGTTCCTGTTCAGGAACATTTGTATAAATTTCTTTCTTTCAGTTACGGGTATTCGTATTAATTAATTGATGTAGAAACAGTAGTTATGTATTGTAGTGATGTAAATAATTGATTGTGTTGGACAGAGACTGGAATTCATTGTCTTGGATCTCAAGTTGAATCCTTCACACATGCTATCGTGATCAGGCTGTCGTGTTACTTATAGCACAAATAACTGGTTTACGACAAGTACTAAATTGGCAAACTAGTTATTTCGTAATAAACGTTGGGTTAGTGATCATAACCGTATGATTAAGATAACCGATGAATCGCTATTTATAGACGAATAACCATGATGAACAAAGAATTGATATATTGACTCTCTCCAAAGATAAACCGGCAAGGGAAACATGACGCCCCAAAATAACCTTTTTACTAGTTTTTCCCCCCATCCGAATTTTGGTATCAGCAAATAGACCAAAGGAGTTCTGTTCAGTTTGCAATATGCATGTATGCAGTTGTGAAGTTATTACTCGTTCTCGTCGTTGGCATATGTATATTCCTCTTTATGAAACAGCGACACATGATTCTACACGAATAAGAAACGAATCCCAGTTTCTTTTTTTGAATGTAAAAAAGATGTGCACATATGTAAGCGCTTGTTGATATGTACCCAAGAAAAGTTAGTATGCATTGGCGATTTGATAAGAGAAATTATGACATTATTTTTCTGTAAATCCTAAGCAGTGAAACATTTTTTTTTCTCTCTCTCCTTTTTATTGTTACATATTCTGATAAACAAACAGGTAAATAAGCAAACAATGAAATGTTATGATGCTATATTATTACGCCCGAGGAGATTGTTTTTATTCTAGAAGGTAAACATCCTTAACCCCAAGTTGTAATTCATCATACAAACAATAAAAAAAAAAGAAAGCAAAAAGGACGTGTGTTTTTTGTTGTGAATAAATTACTATCGTCAAGGGCTTAGCGCCCGATCCAAGGTAGAATATGCTTTAAATGGCTAAATCTGATGACAAGCAAATCCAAAATTAAAAAAGGGGAAAATGGGGGGTGCAGAGGGCGGGGCAAAAGGTTTCCCGACCTCTTTGTTGAACAAGTCTCATGGCTGAAGGCTTAAAATTCAAGTCGAAAAGCGTCATAGTTACTGATGCGACAAGACGATTGAATGGGTAATATAATCTTGCATTCCATTCTACAGTCATTTTTAAGATTATAACTTTAACGAATTTCATCATTGATGAATGAAAAAGGAGTTCACCTGCATTGTTTATTTGTCTTGACACGACACATTTGATATATTGTGCTACAAACAACAAAAGGGTCTCGATAAGAACAGCAAATTCCATACAAAAAGTGTTATAAACTAGTGTAGACCATTGATGGCGCCATAACTAACAGAGAAGATAAGGATCACGTGGAAAGATTTGAAGGGCGTATGTTCTCAAATCACATTAAGCTTTTTTTTTTTTTTTTTTTTTTTTCAGGTCTTAGCATGATGATCTCCCCCTTTTTTTTTTTTTATTTAAAAGGGCCCTTTTTTTTTTTCTCTCCTTTCTTATACAAACACATTTCCCTTTTTCCCTTATTTTTTTGATAAACGTTTTTATTTGCACACTAGTAAAAGATTACATGATAAAGATATGTTGCATTTAAAGTTTAATAAAGAAAATATCACCAGAGAAGAATTAAACCAAATCGAAAAGGTATTTTTTAAAACTGTGCTTTCGAGACAAATAAAAAAAAATTAACTTTTTTAATATAGCGTTTTAAACAGTTTCTAAAAGCCAAGGTCACACCCGAGTTCAACGTTTTAGACTTGAGTCGCACGGACGTTTATGCCCATGTTCTCAGTATATTTATTAGACTCAATGTGCACCGCATTCTACAAGTGAGCGTTTCCCAAATACTCGACTTCTTAATGGATGTTGCAGAAAAATACACGGATGCTCCTTACCACACATTCTATCACGCTGCTGATATTGTGACGATGTTGTACTACTTGTGCCATGACCTCAATGCAAATAAATACTTGACGGATTTAGATATAACGTTTTTAATGGTGGCTGCTCTGTGTCACGACACAGGTCATGTAAGTAAAAATGTTTATATGCATCATTGTTTATTTGTTTACTTATAATGATATAGCCCGGTTTTAATAACGCTTTTCAAATGAACTCGGAAACTGAACTGGTTGCAAGTTATGGCGATAAGTCTACATTAGAAACTTATTCTGTCCACTTGACCATGGGACTACTAAAAAAGCACGGAATGAACCATAGGAGCATGTACACGATCGTCACTGATTTAATCATAGCAACCGACATGGCAAATCACAATGAATTAGAACAGCAAGCGAAGCAACTTTTTACCACGTGGAAGAAAACAACAACAAACGATTCTTGTATTTCCATTCACGACAGAACAAGTCTAAGTCGCATTTTACTACATGCAGCCGATATAAGCAATATGGCTCGTCCCTGGAATATTTCAAAACAGTGGTCCGATTTGATTGTCAAGGAATTCTATAACCAAGGCGACGAAGAAAAGAGAAGAAATATGACAATATCACCTGGCATGGATCGTGAGGTCTGTTCACAAAAGTCAATTAGTTTAAAGTTTGGAGAAATCATATTGCCATTTTTTGAATGTTTAGTGAGTTTATTGCCCAAATCACATGTACTAGTTGACTTCCTTGCATCAAATCGCATACAATGGGAATGTCTAGATCTTCATAGAAAGAGAGATATCAGAAGAGTCAGCAGCGATATTATTATTCAGAAATCCTCATCCACAATTATATTTAAAAGAATAAGACTAGGTTTTAGAAGTCAAAGTTACCCCACTGTATTATATCATCACCATAATAATAATAGCAATTTGCGTTGCCATCCTATCAACACCAATGTACATAATAACCTACTGCCATTAGTGACATTTAAATCTTCTTTAATATGTGACAATCAAAATAATTTAGAACCCATTATACTCTATCATCCTTATGATCAATAATAAAAAAAAAAAGTATAAAAAGAAGCGGTTGTTCAAACTCATTTTAATATCGGTCATCACAAGAACCAACTAAATGTCTTTATTTCATTAGTATTTTTCTCCCTATAAAGTAATCTAACTTTTTTCAATTTTTTTTTTTCTTTTCCCTTTCCTCTTTTTTTTTTTTTTTTTTTTTTTTCTTCTTACTTGTTTATTGGAGATATCATGTATAGCACGGAATCAATAGGGCTTTCGTTAGAATCTGTCCTGGAAGATCCAAGTTCGGACCTATTTAAAGATTTCGCCACTTATTTGCATCAGTCATATTGTATAGAAAATTTAGCTTTTTGGTTAGCGACACAAGAATATTACCAAGAATGTAACAAGAATCGGCAACAAGAATTATGTGAATCGATGATCAATTTATACATTCGACCCAATTCACCACAGGAAATCAACATACCATGCGATATGAGGCAGTCGATACTCGATTTCTTCAATGATGGAAACTATCACTTGCACATATTCGATGATGCAGCTGAAGCAGTATTGGAATTAATGAGAGTAAACTCGTTTCTGCCCTGGACAACATGTTCTTCACCACCATCGTGGTCATTTGACAATATCATGTCCTCTTCTTCTTCTTCGACAAAACAACACAAAAGTTGGCCATCACCAAGACGATTCGTACCTACCTCAAATTCATTAACGGGTCTATCTACCAGCTTCTCTTTCTCTGACAAGTGGAATTTAATTAAATTAAAGCAACCCTCATCACGTAGAAGCTGCTCATCATTAGATTATCCTTGTTCCATCGAAGATGACAGTAATGATAGATTAGCCTTATCTATCGATTTTTCGGCTCCTTCGGCTACGAGTACCACAACCACGACTACGTCAGGAACTCGGTATAGAACAATGTTGAAACGGGTAAAAAGGTCTCTACTTGGTAGCATCAATAACAATACAACAACTGACGAGGATGAAGACGATCAGTTCTCAACTCCACGTTCTTCCTTTACTGCTGATACCACTTCTTCATGGTCGTCCTGGAGAAAATCCCAAAGATAATTCAAACCCCTCCCTACTCTCCTTTAAAAAAAAATATTCATATGTATACCCCACTACTTTCTTTCTTCATCTTATATCTTGTAATTATATATGTATAACCTTATTATATCTTTAATGTGCTACTGCCAATAGAACCGCCCCATATAGACTATTCTCTTATGTAAAAATAAAACAAACAAAAAATAGAGTGCGAATTATTTCTTACTGGCTGGAGCAAAATGCTGCATGCACTGGATTCCTGTTTTTGACAATTGAGAGTAAAGAGATGTGCAAAAGGGGCCTTTTTTTAAACTAATGATTGAGTCTCAGAGAGACATTAAGATTATCTTTTTTTTTTCGTGTTACGCCAAAAAGATACCGTGTGAATGATCTATTTTCCCCTTTCATGAACTGTCAATATACGTCATGGCAATATCATGATATATCCTTTTTTTTTTTCAGTAATCGAAAACCCTAATACAGGTGCCTTAAAGCCTGTTTCTACGCAACTTTTTTCTCTCCCCCTTTTTTCTCGTCCCATCAGACTTTGTTGTGTCGATCTGCTTGTGCGACCTGATGCTTGGGAAGAGAGGTTATTGAAAACATTGGTGCGCCACTTTAACAATGATAGAATTCACCTTATAACCGAATTATCACCACATGTTTATTATGTGAATGGCGAATGGCGAATGGCTTTCTTATTCCAGTCGAATAGATCTTGATATTGAAATAGATCAAGTAGTCCCATGCAATAGCATTTCTATTTCACTTATTTGTCCTTGTGTTTTTCACAAGATATTTACGTAAACTCATTGATCTGTAAACAGTTAAATTTTGTCGATCTTATTCACCAGAGTCGTTATCTTAATCACCAGAATCGTTATCTTATTCACAAAAATCGTTATCTTATTCACCAGAGTCGTTCGAAAACTAGTATCATTCTTCGGCTTGCGGTTGTTTCTTCTACTAGCTTCGTTCTGTGTAGCATGCCAGATGATTTTTTTTGCTAAATTTAGCACTAACCAAAAGCAATCAAGCCAAATTTATGCTATATATTACTGACGTGTTCTGTTTTATTCTTTAGCATTCATGGACCTTCTGTCTGGACTGCCAAAAAAAAGGGATCTCACAAGATTATAAACTAGTGTTTGGTCACGTCGTTGAACAAGCAGTTACCGGAAAACCTTTTCACGGCAGGAAAAAAGAGAGATGAGTTTAAAATAGCAAAGATCTCCTTCCATTCGCTGTCAAAAATAGTCACGCATTTTTTTTGGATGTGCGGGTGCAGTGCGGAAGGGGGGGTGGATGAGCGGGCAGAGGGTGAAGCGGGGAGTAGGCCATATTGAGCTCAAAGTGGCAATAGTAATCACATCCTCTTTCGAACTGACCAATATGGTATGTATAACTTTTACATTAAAATAGAGATGAAAGGGATAATTCGATTCTATGATGATTGATCAAGCATACGAGAATAAATGGATGGATGGATTATGGAAGAAGAAAAAGAGCGGGGAAGGAGAGAGAGAACACACTTCATTTTACATTCGACAACCCAACATCTTGTGAACAACTACACCTACCTGAACGATTTAAAATGCACACACCATCTATTTTTAGAATTGAAATTATCCCTTTCTGATGTTTGCGTAATTACTTTTTTCCTAAAATTACATTTGCTTTTCGTTAGGCCGACGCTGCTGTCACTATCAGAACTCGCAAGTTCCTTACTAACCGTTTGCTTCAACGTAAGCAAATGGTTGTCGATGTCATTCACCCCGGACTCGCCAACGTCTCCAAGGAAGAACTCCGTTCCAAGATTGGTAAGATGTACAAGTCCGAGAAGGAGGTTGTCTCTGTCTTTGGTTTCAAGACCCATTTCGGTGGTGGAAAGACCACTGGTTTCGCCTTGATCTACGACAATGTTGAAGCCTTGAAGAAGTTCGAGCCCAAGCATCGTCTTGTCCGTATCGGTCTTGCCGAAGCTCCCAAGGGTGGCCGTAAGCAACGTAAGGAAAAGAAGAACCGTGAGAAGAAGTTCCGTGGTGTCAAGAAGGCAAAGAAGCCCAAGAAGGAGTAAATTCCCTTTGATCTTTTTCTTTATTGAATGCACTAATAAAAACTTATCCGATTCTGTTTTTTTTTTCGCCCCAACACAAACTGGATCATGTTTTTTTTATTTTTTTGTTGTTTTTCGCGCTGTACCTGTCTGTTTTATTTTGAAAAAGGAAGGATGCTTTTGTGTCGAGCTAATATAGAAATGGATACGGAAAAGTTGACACGTGTGATAAAGTTGCATGATATTTATTATAGAAGCGATTTACTGGTTCAATTGATATGGCAATAACTCTTCGCTTGACGACATCATTAAATATAGGGATCTTAGAAGATATTATGCTATACGTTGCTCTCTTTTGCCGTCACCTCAAGAAGTGACGTTTTGAAAGCCTGATGCCACATTACGCGAAAACCAGCCTGGGTTTCGGCTTATAGAATCGGCCCTTGTTAAAGAGATTAATATTCGTATAGATATCTAATTCGCATTCACAGATTACGCCAATAGCATTAAGAGCTATAATAAACAAAGTTTTGAAACAAGAATGTTTATGATACGATTTTGTATGACTGGAGCATCGGGCGGATGACAGGATACATTGAAGAAAAGTAAGAACTCTCCCCTATTAAAATACTCTTAAAGGCTTTGCATGTAGATGAAAAACTCGCATAATACTTCCTAGAAGAAAAGGCATTCATATTCTGTTTCATGGCAATGTTTGCCTTGTCTGATGAGTAAATGTTTTTAATATGAATGGGTAGAGTACAATCGATTCAAGAGAGCGTGCTTTATGGAAGATATCAGCAGTTTACAAGAAGCAAATGTGATCATAAGTAAGTATCTGAGTAATTCTTGTGCTCTCAGTGGCATACTTTGTTCAGCTAGACCTGTCAGATCTGAATGTCAAAATATTTAATCAAGACAGCTACATCTAGTTGTGCAAAATCCTTAAAAAACTTGCACAATATACATGTGATATCATAAAAATAAAAAACGGCCCTGTTATCTGGTGTACAATTACGTAAAAGGCAACTCAACAGTTGTCAATCTTAGATCGCTAGCCAATCCTATATTCATGCTCATGACATTAAGCCTTTTTTTTTAGGGCGGCGAAAATATTAAAAGCATAAATTTAATTCATACGATTAAAATTGTGGAAATGTGCCCGACGCAAAATTATCTGGTATGACTGATAAAGGGATAAACGATTTGTTTTGCTCAAAAAAAAAAAAAAAAAGATAAAGAAAAAAAAAAATTGTCTGAACAAGAAAAAAATAAACTTTTATCCACGGATTTTTAATAAGGACAATGTCAGAATGAGTAATAAAGCAATGAATTTATTGATGGGAGATTAAAAATAAGGGAGTAGCTTGTATACAAATAAAGGTATACGGGATATTGTAATGAGGTATATATAAAATGCTAGGTATGATTATAAGTATGTGTTTAAGCGCCAGTATTGGTACAGTCAGTTCCAGTAGCATAAACGTAGTGGCCATTATGAGGTCTACCGCAGCTCATGGGATCGTAATAGTAACCAACGACGTCGGGGTGATTTGACGTACGCATGGGATCATTCATGAATTTTTCTGTGCTAAAAGCGGCCAAGAAAGAGCTGATAAAAGAGTGGGATTTGGAAGGTGCAATTGTGCTTGCGGTGGAAAGGCTATCATCAAAGTCTTCTTCATGTTCAGGTTCAGTCTTTTTTGATCTGGTGAAAGGTATGCTTAATTTGAAATGCATTTTATGTTGAAAAGTGGCTTTTTTATTTTTTGGTTTATGAGTGATATTATAATTTTTTTCTGGATTTAATTGTGCTTTGTATTTATATAATATGAACCGGCTTAAACAGTTAGCCGCCAAACGTCAAAGACAAGTAATGAAAAAAAAATAGGGTAACGGCGGATTTGTGATTGGCGGGATTTCAATAAGGGAATGCTAAATGGAAAACTTTTGTCATTCATGGGCATAGAAACAGGAATCGAGTATAACTCGCCATTAAAATCTGCATTATTTAAAGTAAACCTCGTATATTGTTTGGCATATAAAATGCGGTTTACCACTGGGATCAAGGGCAGGATTCCATACGGGATATAACGCTGGTCGGATTGGAACGGACCATCTTGCCACGAAAATCCTTTTTCTCTAAAACATCGTGGCATTTAAACCCAGTCAAAGCGACGAACCGTGTTGGGATAACACTTTAACCGCTGTAACATCCATGCAAACCCTTTTCTTTCTCTTTACTATTCTCCTGCTCTTGCAAGGATGTTGATTATTTAAGGGTCATTTATTACAGAATAATTGTTTGGTCTTATTACCAAAAGGAATGTATCCTTATGAAAAAAAAAAAGAGTTTAAACGAAAATTCTTCATATTAGAATTGTTTCGGCCACTATTTCATACAACTCATGTTACATCATCTTCATTGTTCCAGAGTAATTAAGCAACAAATGTAAGAATCCCGTATATTCTGACCAATCGAGAAGACTTTGGGGATAATACGGGATTATCAGGAGAAAAGTAACCTAGGAGCCCTGTGGCAACTAACACAATAGTTTGGAGCGGGACATTGTAATTACTTTTATCCTAACCAATTAAATCTTCAGGATAATTGATTTAGCATTATTTCAGGCATGGCTGGGCAAGCCTATTATGTAATAATTAACCACAAAGTGCCTCGAAGGGTTTAATGACTGTAATATGGTTGTGTAAAACCAAAACTACCGGAATGATCCGGCGATCTTCTATCAAACCGACCATCATGATGCATATTTCCAAAATAGTGTAAAATATCTGTTTTTCTTATTTTTATACGTATTTAAACTTTTATAGGGTAGCCTGATGCGATTCTTAGATTGAGATTTAAAGATAAACATCAACACTAGCTTTCCACTTGCTGGTTACAATAAGTATTTGTGGCCCTTTCGGGTTGAAGTATCGTCTAAAACTTTAAAAAAAATGCTAGGCCGTACAGTTTGGTTCAAATACCATTATCCGAGACATATCAATGTGCCAGTTGTTGGTCCTTTCCTCTTATCTATTCACGAGGCAAATATCGATATGATTTTTTTTTTAATTATCTGGATAAACACAATCTCCCCCAAACCTAGTTTCATATAGATAATGACATTAGTGATAAATTCAGGCAAAGTACATGGTGGTGTTATCTCGGGTGTATTTTATTCTACTGACTGCAATGCTTTTTTAAGGAGCCTATCAGCTCAATCCGATTTAGTATTATTTTATTACCTTGTGCTGTGCTATAACTTACATCATATAAACTACTTTGAATGAAAGCATCTGGTCATTCTTTTTTTTTTTTTGTTCTCTCCTGCAGCATCAGCCTTTCTTCTGTTTGCTCCGTATAATTCAACATGCACATAATGATACGTAGAGACGTTTTTATCGTTAAGTTTGAAAGATTTGATTTCCGTATTCTTAATGACTAGTGGAGGATCTTCGTCCTAGGTTTTCTGATTAAAATCATTTACGCATTTATAGGAGAGTTTTCCTAGAGATAGAATCATGAAAAATTAACTGACTACCTCCTTCAAGTGAGTACTTGGTTTGTAAATTCCAGAAGCATCCATCCATAACTGCATCCTCTTGCTCTTATTGCCAACATTTCCAAACCCTTTTTTTTTAGTCTCACTCGAGTCGAGACAAAAGTGTTTTATTCTGCTAATGGAAAGTTATTTTTGGAAATTTTAAAGTGTCGGTTTCTTGGTTGCTGCAAGAAGAGACATGTCTATTCTTCTGAGCCAGTTTTTTAATTAAATCATCCAGAGCACGGGGTGGCTGTGAAGCTTGGCATACAAATCAGGTATACTACATACACTACATGAGAAATCTGGCCATATTTTTAAATGTTAATTTAACATGTGCTTTGTACACACTTTCCAAGTGAATCTTGAATAATTTTTTTTGATCCAAATTATTCCTACCTTTTTTATACACATTAACTTTTTTTTTTATTATTAAATGAATAAGAATAAGCTTTCTATAAATACAAACTGTAGCAACACGTTGACTGATAGTGTTACTGATTGGGAATATGATGATCAAGATGATATATATTCACCTCCTTTATCCCCTCCACCTCCTCATTTAATTTACTTTCCAGAGAATTATGCAGGCAACAAGTCTTGGCAGCAGAATAGTAACCATGCACCCCAACGAGACCCTTATGGTAAAAGAAGCAATTACCCAGAAGAAAGTAAGAATACGAGATATGCTGGTTTAATAAGGAGACAAATATACACAGTTGCCAAGATTTCAACCAAGCTTATATTTCAGAATAACAATTTACTCCTGATTGCAAATATTGTCAACAAACTATGGAGAGCGAGAGAAAGTTTTATCAAACCGGCTTTGCATATCACAAATTATCTTCGGTTCATCATGAAAAACGGTGGTTATAAAAATTTATTACGCTATACCATGCACTTTGTACAGTATCATTTTTCAAAGCAACAACATCATCATCATCAATCTTCGTTGGTGCATAATTCTAGTCCGGCAACAACAATGATTTTAGTGCTGGCTACTATGAGTCATTTATTAGTTGTTTTGAAAAAGGTCGGATTGAAATGGGCATCCAAAACGATACGTAATATGGGTGGTTTGGATTCGATTGTCATGGCAGTCAGTGCAATTGCATTTGCAAAATCTATCCAAAGTTCGGGTCGTGTGTTCTAAATAAATTTTAATTTAACTTTTTGAAATAATCGGTTTCAAACTCTATTTGTACGATCCAGGATAATTCTAGTTTGTCTTGTGCATATAATATTAGCTCACGACAAACCTGTCAAAAACATATATATAAAAAAAAAGGGCAATCTATTTTATTGTCAAAAAGAAAATGGGAGATAAATACACATACATGTATAAATGTATACATAGAAAAAAGCGAAACTATATAAAGGAATATAAATTAACAAAGAGAGAAAAAATAAAGAAAAAGTAACACGAATAATTTTAGGCGGCCGGCGCACTGTGTCCACAAATGAAACCAGAGCACATCAAATCATCATCACTCATAGCAGGTAGAGAACCAGGGGAGACTAAACATGCCCTTACAAGCAATCGTCGTAATCGTTCATGCGAACTACGACATCCAGCTGTACAGATTAAAAAAAGTTAATAATACGTCATTTATACATTGTTATGCTGTAAAAAATACGGTACCCATTGCGGCTCGTTCAAACCAAATAGTAGCCTGTCGAAGATCGACAGTAGATCCCCAACCTTTTTCGTAACAATTTGCTAGATGATACTGAGCAGCAACATGATCCTGTTCGGCAGCACGTAAAAATAATTGAAAAGCCATATCCAAATTCTTCTCAATGCCTAGTCCATTCTGCATATGAAGCGCCAATTTATCCAAAGCACGAGCGTGGTTTTGAGCAGCCGCTTGTTTGTACCAGTGGCAGGCTTTTGTGTTATTCTGTTCTACGCCAATGCCGTTTGCGTAACAAAAGCCTAGGTTACACTAATGGGGTAGTTTTAGCGATCGTTTTTTTTAGCATGATTTTTAATGATTTACCTGTGCCCATGGATTATTTTGACGTGCGGATTTGTGGTACCAGTATACAGCCTTTGGGCAATCTTTTACAACACCTAAGCCTTCTTCGTAGCAAAAGCCTAAGCTATTTTGGGCAAGGGCATTCCCTTGTTCAGCAGATTGTCGGAACCATTTCACAGCTTCACGTTCATTTTTGGGTACTCCAATACCGTTACGATAACAGTAACCAAGGGACAATTGAGCAGGAGCGTGATTTTCTTCTGCCGAAAGATAATACCAAAAGACGGCCTCTTGTTCATTCACATCAACACCAATGCCATTTTGGTAGCAGTAACCAAGACTATGGTATGCGAATATATTACCCCTTTCAGCAGATCGTCGGTACCATTTAACTGCCTCCTTTTCATCTTTTTCAACACCGATTCCGTTTTGACAGCAGAAACCCAAATTGTGCTGTGCTCTTGCATGTCCTTGTAAGGCGGCCTTCTTATACCAATATGCACCCAACTGATCATCCTTCTCGACACCAATACCATTTTGATAACAGTAACCTAAATTACACTCAGCCCAGGGATAGCCTTGATGAGCTGATTTCTTGTACCAAAAGGTGGCCAATTTAAAATCTTGATCTACGCCGATGCCATCTTCAAAGCAGTAACCTAGACTATTTTGAGCAAAGGCATTTCCTTGTTCAGCCGAAATAGTGTACCATTTAACAGCTTCTATTAAATTTTTTTCAACTCCGATACCGTCTTCAAAGCAATAACCGACATTATAAATAGCAACAGTTTCTCCTTGAGCGGCAGCTAATCGGTACCAGCGCATTGCCTCCAATTCATCCTTTTCGACACCAAAACCCTCGCCATAGCAATAACCAAGGATTCCCTGACCTCTAGGATTACCTTGATCGGCACTTGACTTGTACCAACGATAGGCTTCCATTTCATCCTTTTCCATACCAACACCATCATGATAGCAAACACCTAATGCATATTGACAAGAAGAATCGTTGTCTACGGTAGCGGCCTGGATGATCCAATCAATAGATTTTTTATTCAATTTAACTTTTTCTGACCATTCTTCCGCTTCGACTCTATCGATTTTAACAAAGGGACGGCCATATTTTCTCAAAAAAGCCAATCTAGCCATGGATAATCCATCATTTGATTTGAGAGCGGCCGACAGATAATATTTCTCTGCAGCAACAAAATCCTTTTCAACCCCCAGACCAAATTCGTAACAAAATCCCAGTACTCCTTCTGATTTTATATGGTTAAACGTCATTGCTTTCTTAAAATAATAAACAGCGATCATTGGATCAATTTTGGTGCCGTTTCTACCAAACAAATGCGTATTTCCTTTTTCAAAATAATATTGCCCATCCATATGTGTAATTATCACTTGTTTCGTTCTAAAAATATTTGTAAAGAATAAAGACATGCGTAGAAAAAGAGAAAGAAAATATAAATAATATAGCTCATTTATATATCAAACTCGAAAAAGGGGGCACACGATTAAAAAAAAAAAAAAGAAGGGGTGTCACAAGAAAGGGAGGAAAAATAAGTATTTCGGTTTTTGCCCTGCTCCTATCTTTCACCCCTTGAAAATCTAAAATACAGCCTATTCACGTGTACTTAAAAATGTTGTCTTTTTTTTTTTATATATATATATATACATACATATGTACCGCTTGAGATACTTAAGCCTTGTTTCAAACATTTAAACAATACTAAGCTAAATTTATTATCCAGGCCCTAACAAACAAGCGGAAAAAACCCATCGTTTCTCCATTGCTCTAAAGAGGCTCACTCTATAATCACATAAAACATTAATATTGATTGTTTGTTCGACTGCTAAATAAACAAATGGAGTGCATCTCATCCATTACGCACTGCGCATTTAGCTGACTTGTCACGCATAATTGATGATACTAATATTTTCTCTTTTTTTGCGACATTTCCAAAAGAGAAACGTTAAACCTCCAAAAACACGAAGCCACTATTGTTCTCCAGAAAAGAAAAAAAAAATAAAACGAATTCCAAAAACAGCCATCAATTATTTTTTTCTAGAATATACCACTGTTATTCTGTAAATGTTATTAAAAATCTAAACGCTGTTTTAATGAGGATGTTCTTAAAGATGAAAAGCTTAGGCGAGCTTGCTCCTCTGCCAGTGTGTCCTCTTCAAGAAACACAAATATTTGCCATACCGAGTAAAGCACCCAACGCTTTCACATTATCACCTTTATGATAAACACAAAATCATTTTCAATTTCGATTGTTACAATCAATGTTTTCCATTGTAGTCATTAATTACTTCATTGTTAAGCTTTTTTAAGGGCCCTTTAATTTTTTTATTATTATTAGACAACGTGGCTGTATCAGGCCACTCATTTACTTGGTATAATAATGATGTCTGTGTAAATAATCTGACTGATAATAGATCGTATTAAAATAATTACAAGAATCAAATTAGATGAAAGTACTGATTAAAATATGCGGTTATTTTCATGAATCTGATCTACAATAGGATGTAATAAAATACTCATATTGCATTTTTTTTTTATTCCTTGGGAAATTCGAAATAGGTTGTATAGTTAGCAAATTACGAACGGGCTACAAATTTAAATATATTATTTGTAATAAAATGATAAACAGTTTTACGTCAGGATGAGTCAATCAATCGATAAATGATTTGCATTTATAACAAAAAATAGCTGCACTTGAATAAATATACATTATCGACAACAGGTTTTGATTCGATGCACATACCCGTACCTCTCAATTTTTTTTATCATTGACTTAGCATTGTTTATATTTGATTTTGTCGTTACATTTTCACTGTGCAGTGCATTAATGTTTTTAATTGAGAATAACAATCCCAAAAGAGTGATATGAAACTTATTACAAAGAGACTGTATTTGGGAATTTAACATACGAAGTTTAAATGTGGTTCATGCTTGGCTTAACCACTTTATATCTAACTCACTGGTGGATTGTGAAGAATCAAGCGCGTATTGCTGAAAACATGGATTCTTATAAGTACCTCCTTCCCGGTCGTCGTTATAAGAAACAGAAAAGAAGATAGATTCTCGTTTGGTCATTCAAAAGAAAGTTTAGACATCGTACATGGTAAAAAGAGCAAGGTCCCAGTATGTTTCTTGATTGAGTAAAGAATTAGAAGTTTGTGTCACTCTACATGTTACTTTATTGTTAATTGAATTATCATATGACGAATAGGTTTTCGTTGTTTCAATTGGAAAGAACCCTAATACCCAACAGCTGGATGATTGAATTCGAAGTGTGCTGTTTTTTAAAAGTCATCCTCTGTACATATAAAGGGAGTTTCCCGTTTGAATTTTGCCCCGCTAACTCCCACGATGTTATTGGTCTGCCAAGAATCAATAACATGAATAAAGAAGTGTCATTGGGGTTACAGAAAAAATTTAATATAAGAGTGAAAAGCAACCTACGTTTCCCTGATAAACAAAAAGTATATCAACTCAACACATCCTATTCTAGTATCTTTCAATTGATACATAACTAGTCGAATAATGATATGACACCAAAAGTAATAGTGTAATCATGTTACAAGGTCATATTGGAAATATGTTTTGGTGTTCAACTGGGGATAAAGTTCGTGTTACGGTCGTGCAATGAATTCACACATGTTTTCTTATCAGATTTAAATTTATAGATCTTTAACGAATAAGATGGACGATCGGACTGACTGTAAAATGCCGGAACAGAACTTCTCACTATTTTTAGTCTAGTTTTGAGGATTCAAATAACGAAGCCAGTAAGAAACATGAAGATCCTCTCAAACCTATCCTTTCTCCATTGTTCAAAGCTCTCTGGTGATAGTGGGCGAGCACAGGTTTACCGGGTAAAGCCCAGTATACATTTAGCATAAACACACGTATATTTTACACACAGTAATTGCATGTTATAATAAGGTCCAATGTTTGATAAGCACTCGATCCATGGTGATCCAATGTTGTGTCTCATTCGGAGTTCAAGACCCTCTCGGACTGTCATAATGGAGTATTGGTTATTCTCGATTTCTTTTTTCTCTTTTTTTATTTCTAAATCGAATTAAAATGGCAACCAAACGTAAAGGAAAGACAGTTCCGTGCGAAGGTAAATGAAATCCAGAAAAAAATAATACTCAAATAAAAACAATATCAAAATAAAACGTCAGTCTGTATTAATACAAACAAATTTTTGAAAGGTTGCCGAGAAAGAAAAAAAAAATGTTCTGCCGGTCAACCTTGTGAAAGGTAAGCCAACATTTAAGACAAAAAAAAAAAAGAATTCAAATTTACATAATTTTAGATGTAAACGATTAGGAATTCCTTGTCAATACCTCAAACCAGTCGCACCACCGAGAATAGAATGTGTAGAATCAGTCAACAGTCAGGAAATTCAGCTTCGTGTCCAAGCAATGGAAGACATTATGAGAGCAATGGAGAAAGAAATGTTCTTATTAAAATCACCTCTTGTTACCAAACAACACGACTTTCAACCAGATAACGCTCTATCTGACGAAGGCTCGGATAAAAGTATTGTTATGGACGATAGCAAATCAATAACGAAGTTGAACAATAATATTGCAGCAAAGTGGGAGCTACAATTCGGAAAAGATGGAGGCTTCTCGATTAATACCGACATTCAATCTTATACAAGTCTATTAAGACACATCGAAGCACTAAGCACTGAATCTGCATTCTGTCCGATTATAAGACAGCCCATGTTGGCATCCTTATCAGTAGGCGATGGATTTTTGCACAAAAATATGGTTTCTACTGTCTTACGGAAAGGCAATTTCCGGATAACGATTGCATCAATACAGAAGACACAACTCAAACAAATACCACAGTTTATTGAGCCGCCTCCCGTCTTACTTCAGCAAAAAGGTTTATCCTTACAACTTGTTCAAACCTATTTTGCCTGTAGATTTTTGCATCGAGTTATATTTCATCAAGCAACGTTCTATGACCTATTTGTCAACAACTATGCCGACCCGGAGTCATCACCTGTCGTATGCGCATTATCTGCCGCTGTTTTGACTATGCGCTGTAAACATATCATGAATATGGTGCCTTACGATCAACAAATGGAGTTGGGTGAGTATTTTTTTAATAAGGCAAGGCAAGCCGTGTCTTTACAGTTCGACGAAGCCACGATAGAAACCATGATCGTGTATCTCCACATGGCTTTATACAAATCCAACTTGTTGCGACCCCAAGAAGCCCATGTATATTTAGACATGGCAATTCGAATCCGACAAATCTTGGCCGAAGATACTTTTAAACATCCACCGACTAGTTCAGAATCAAAGTCTCAGTACGCGGGGGAATATGAAAATTTTAAACGTCTACATGCTGGATTTCAAGACGCTGTTCGTTTTATTCAATTTGTAAATAATCAACGAGGTGTGCCTGTTAAAAGTAAAAACAGACCACCCAGACAAGAGAAGCCATTCCAAAAAGTATTTCGGTCTATCTGTGCTGAAGAATATAAACCAACAGCGATGCCGGATGAACCTCAACAGACTGTTCGAGCCATCATGAAAGAGAATTACCTAAATTATATATCGGGCGTTGTCGGGCCGTATTTTCGCCGTGTACGGTTCGGTCAAGAAGAAATGATCCCCTTGTCCTTTCTGCTGAAAACCGAACAAGATTTACATCACGTCTACAACCATAAATTACCGCTGGAGTATAGATTATCACATTCCATTTTTGAAGATGGCTTAAGTGATGTAGAATTCAGGAGACGTTTACAAGATGATACCCGATGTGACGCAGTTACTGTTTCCATAGCAACAAGATTTCACCAGTCTTTATTGGCTTTGCATGAACCGTTTTTACCAGTGATGAAACGGCCGCCTGTCCTGGCCGAACTCTCCATGTTACAAGAGGATGCCCCTCCACCACCACCGCCAAAAAAAAGAAAACGAAAATCCAAAGTTTACAATTCACCCGGCGAAACGTCCCTCTCATCAACCCATTCAATATCCTCATCGTCATCAGAAGATTCTGACGACTATGACGACAATGAAATCATATCTGCACATTCGTTAAGGGCCCAAGACATTTGTCATAAAGGTGCCATCACGGTAATTCGACTATTAGAATATCAATGTATGACATTAGGATCATGCACCATACCAATAGCCTCTTTGTTATGTGCTTGGGACATCCTGATACGAGATTCATGTTTGGGAATGACTTTAGATGATTTAAAAGAGTCTGGTGCCAGTGATTACCTTACACCCAATGACATACGGCTGGCTCGTGAATATGCAGTGCGATGTATTGAAGTCTTGAGAAGAGGGTACGTGTACAATGGTGCTGAACGAGAAATTTGGGAGCATTATGAGCGTATCGAAGTTCAATTATTAAAAGCACTTTGCACTGATGCGTCACCGACAGCCAAATACTGGGAACCTGTTTCCACTTGGTATTAATTATAAAAAAAAAAAAAAAAAAAAAAAAAAAAACTTATATAACCCCCTCCCCTACTCTTTTACATATTAATAATACTAGTTTTAATAAATATTTTGTTTCTTTATCTGCAATACTGAACGTGTCTATTGTGTGTATCCTCATCATTGAACGTGTGTGCAATCACTGTTTTTATAACCGGCTCATGCACGACAAGAGGCACAGAGGAGGCCAAATGGACTGATAATTGACAAGACAATTTAGCTGCAGCGGAATCACCCGATCGAAAAAAGCCACCAGAGAAATCACCTGCATCACGGACAAATCCCCATAATAGAGGTAAATCTGTTCCTTTCGGGCCCACTATTTATATATAAAAAAAGTGTCAGATCATTGGTTTGTCTTTTTTTTTTTGTTTTGTTTGTTTCTTTTTGTTTGGGGTGGGCTTATATATACATTGGACATAGATCTGTTGCGCAGATATATCATAACTTCGAAACATCCAATAGTGTCCATTGTTAGGTTGGCTGAGACATAATTTGCACGGAACGTTGACATGGTAACCCACAATGTTACCACTTTAAACATGTGTGTAACGAGAAAAGGTTAACGAAACGTAGTGGTTTTAGTAATTTTTAAATTTGGGATTACCAGTTTAGGCAAGCAATATCACGTACTCTACATGAACACGAAGCAGCTGCATAATCGCCGTGAACAAATGACACACTAGGAAACGGAGAAAAGGGTTAAATAGGTTTGTAGTTGAAGGAGACGGTGCATCATTACTTTACGTATCAGGTAATAAATCAGTCGAGAATAGTTGAACGGCACGATCCGAGAGTAATACAGCCTACAAGAAAAAAAAAAAGTCAATACCTAGTCATTTAGATTGAATATAAAGAGTGCCTCTTACGTTCATACCCCGATCTGTTAATACAAAATTACAATCATGGCATTCAATTCGATAGACGTGTTTTCGCTCATACTCTGTAGCCACTTGGTTCATGCGTTGGTATTCAATCAAGACCTGTCGGTGATAGTTTTGATTGTTTCTTCTGCCTCCCAGAAGCGTAAAGTTCTCATTCGAAATATCTCGCATACTATAAATTGTCAACACACACACGGATATGGATGCAATATTAGGAAAAAGGAAAAAAATGAGCGGTTTTTATTTATGAATGGAGTATTTTTTTTTCTTTTTTTTTTCGCCTCGGTAAAAATATCGATTTGAGCCAAGAGCCAATTACTGTCTATTTGTTATTGATTGATGCGGTGAGGTGCTGTTATGAGTCCATGGTGGTGTTGGACCCCTCCAACTTGGAGCAGCCATAGTGTTGTTCGTGTAACCTCCAAACGGAGTAACTGTCCGGCGCGAACTAGTAATGCTATTGGGTGTTCCTGTAGAATCAACTTCAGGATGTGGAGATAGTGAAAACACGTCTCGAATCTTTTGAGGAGTCGAGTCTTGCTGTGAGAATGTGATACTGCTGTTACTTTCTTTGCGTTCTCTGGGAGGAGGAGAAAGTACAGTTTGAGAAGTTTCAACAACCGCAAATTGTTGTCCATATAAAGTAGCTTCTTTGTTATTGTTTTCGGTCACGATAGATTCATCTTCGATTGTTGTGGGAGATTCAGATGGTATAATGATTTGTTCATTGTTCTTTTCTACATCATTTGATGCCATTGTTCTTCTTCTTTTGACTGTCCATACAGTAACTGCTACAATGATCCCAACTAGGCATATTCCAGCTGCTAAAATCCCCCATGTCCATGATTGTATCATTGCCAATAAAAAAAATAAAAGGAAGAAGAAAAGAATATAAACAAAAAGACTAAAAAATAGCATTTTTTTTACTTTTCCACCTAAAATAAAAAAGGAAGGGAAAGGGACCCCCACTAAAAAAAGCTTAAATGAGGGGAGACAAACAATCAACCTATGACAATCAAATTTTCTAATAATACAAGAAAAAAATAATAATAATTATTTTTATTAGGAAGGACAAAAGAAGCCTCCGGTAGCGGGTGTAGCAATTACAGATGGCTTATAACCAAGCCAGTCTAAACCAAATATATATAAAGTGAACCAAAATTGTATCGAAAGTGAATGATGTTGTTGTATCTCTGTTGTGTTTGTACAAGCCCTTAAAAGGTTCGAAAAGGTAGTATCCGATCGATCTCTGGCTTGATAATTGACAGAAATGGGTAATTGAATAGTTGATATAGTCTGTCCGGGTATGTAAATATCACTATTACCATCGGGTTGTCCCTTGCCAATCAATAGTCCTGTCAATGCGTCCTTGGCAATGATCTGTATGCGATTGAATCTTGTTGAAAGATAATTTCTTCTGTTATCCATGGTGATGTTTAATAGCCAGACACTTTCAAATGCAACATTGCTCATCATCATTCTCTCGGTACCATGCTGTGTTTGTGTGACCTTATTGGTTGGCACAGTCATCATGGCCCCTTCAATTCGTATTAATGGTATACGCGGCCAAAAAATAAAGGCTAATACAAATGAAAGAATTACAGATATAAAAGTAATCATCACCCATTCACGTCTTCCACAAAAAAAGAAACAGTGTCCTCGACCACCTTCTTTCCGGACAAAACAGCAACCACCTCGAAGCCACTTACGTGGCGGCTCTTGTATTGTTGCCTTTTCCATCTCTATCGCTGTAGTGTTATTCATGACTACAGGCTGAACTCTGTTAGGGTTCTTTTTTTTCTTTTGTTCTTGACCCTCCCACATATGATTATGCGTCTTACTGCATTTATTGGAAGGATAACTCGTGTTTTTGGAGCAACAACAATGGTGTGGTGATTTTTTCTTTCGAGGAGGTGGTTTTTTTAAAGGTAAGTGATCTTCATCCTCTTCTTCTACACTAGCTATTTTCCCCCAATTTCATTGTTTAGTTTTTGTGTACTTCTATAAAAAAAAAATACTTATTTTAACTTACATGACTCAATTGGTTCTGGTGAGGGCAAGAAAAGAGGAGGTGGTGTAAGCAATAGACGATCATTTTGACTGCTGTATTCAGGGGTTGTGTTATCTGCTGCTTCTATCTCTATTATTATCTTTTCTTCTTGGTTTGTAACTTCTGTAGCATAGTTAAAAGACATAAACCGATCTGCTAAAGGTGTGGATGAGGATCGTCTGGATGAAACAGTGGAAGCCTTTGTAAATCCTTGCACAGAGGGTGAACATAACGTTGTCGCTGCTGAACTCTTTCTTTCGACATCGTATAATGTATCATGTTGTACAAATGACATCCTATTATGTGTTAAAACGATATCAGAAGAAATAAACAAAGAAAAGAAGAAGCACAAGAAAGAAAAAAAAAAAAGAGGGAAAAAAACAAGGATATAAATAAAACGAGACCTTTTCACCCTATAATTCATCCCCTTCAGTTCTACCCAATGTTGTAGACAAGACCGCTCAAGTATCAGCATGAAAATGTATATAAATAGCATTTTCAGCCAATCACAATTCGTATGCTGTCTTTCTCTCTCTCTCTTATAGCCGGAGTTCCTAAGGACAACACTGTTAAATACGGGTTTTCAAATACTTTTGGGGAAAACCTGAAGTGATCATCCTGACATAAACCAGCTTTTGTTTTTTTTTGAATTCAAACTCATAAAAAAAAAAAGATACTGCTGTGAACAGTTTGGTTTTATCAAGCCAAGGACATGAAATTAAAAGACACATCTTCTCCATAAATGAAAGGTGAGGTATGGTTCTCGCGCAAGTCATGGGAGGTATCACGACTATGAGCAGTCATCAAATTATGATAGTAACTTCAAGCTAAGATGGACAAATCTTCACAAACATACGTATGGTTAGACATCATCATAAAGCCGAAAAAGATATAGAAGAACTCACCGTAACAAGCAAATAATCAAGGGCTCAATTAATTCCCTTAAAACTACCAGTATACCGGTCAGCACGAGAGAGATTTTTTAACGACTTAGATATGAGTTGTTTCTTTGTCAACCCATTGTCAAAGAAGGTAATAATTATCATACATAATGCACTCTCTTTCTTTCTATTGTAAGTTCATCAAACAAAAGAGAATTGGTTGAAAAGCAGACGCGCTTTTTTATAGCAAAACCTAAAATGCGGCCGTTGTGAATATGGGAACCATGGTAATATTACTAAATAATGACAAGATGACAGTGGATATAAAATAGCAAAGTTATTGAAAAATATTTATTACACTGCTTGCATAAATTAGCGCCTGAGATATTGCGCAATGTGGCTCTTTTTAGGTTCGCCGATCGATATACGAGTGAGCAAAGCCCTGGAAAACCCCAACCTTATATTGAATACACCTGAGCATGCTCCCCCAAGTAATTTGTTTATACCGCTAAAATGTAGAAAGTACTTTTTTTTTTTTTTTTTTTTTTGGATGGCTAGCGGAGTTGACCTACGAAAGTCGAGAGACTGCATTCAAGTAGAATCCAACGATTAAAGGATCAATTAAAAAAAACCATGTACGCCAAATGGTTTTTTTAATTTAGGTGGGTCGTCTGACCCAATCACTATTTTATTGGATTCCGACAACCAAAAATAACTTGTATTTTTTTCCTGTTATCTCCCTTCCCTTACTCTTATTTTCTTTCTTTTTTTATAAACTCATGTCCAGCTCATTAGATCAGAATAAAGATCAGCAAATCGCAGCCATTCTTGTGGTTGGATTTCATCACGCATATGGACCCATTGTTGAATTCTGCGTACCTCCTTTACCTGATCATAAAGAACATCAGACTGCATTGGAAAAGTTGGAGTTGCCTGAAGAATGGAGTTTCTTACCCTTTCTTGCCTTACCAGGTAATTTTTACTTAATGTCAAACAAGTGGAGTTACTAAACCTAAAGTTAGATGGCGCTCATCAAAAGGACGAGGACTTTGCATATTTTCATTTACCTCCTGTTCCAGGTTGGTCAGTTGCCGAAACCACCTTATTTGGCATCTCTTGCAATCGACAAATTGCCTCCAAGGTAAGCTCAAATTCTTGTTTTTTTTTTTAAAAAAAAAAAAAAAAAACAGAAAAAGAAAGAAAGAAAGGGGCAAGGCGATTGACTTCATCATGTAGGATTTGTTAGTCAAGACACCTGATATTACACGATCCATTGTTCAGAAAGCAGTCGTTGTATTAGCAAGACAGGTAAAATAAAAATGATTCGAAATGACATAATTTTCTCAACCCGCATGCGATTTAGCCTATTTTTGGTCCTCTTCGACAAAAGCTCGCTGTCATTACAGCATCTTGGTTTAACCAACGAGATTTTACAAAGCTTGATATCTTATATGTAAGTCCACAACCTCTCAAATAAATAAATAAATTCACATTGAGTCCTTCTTAGAATCTGTACAATAATTTAAACAGCACTTTTTATGGGCCGATAGACGATTCGACACTGTATATGGGTAAAAAAAAAAAAATTCATGCAAAAACCCAAAAGAAAAAAAAAATTAATTTGATATATCCAGGCACGTCTTTGCGTGAGTTAGTCTACAAGTTTAAATCCAAGACATTAATGTTGTTAAAATTATTGCTGCTTGAAAAGAGGGTGAGAACAAAATAGGTTGAGATGCAACTAATTTTATTGACAAATTGTGTTGCTATAGTTGCTATTTTATGGATACCCAGTTGAGAGATTATGTACATTTCAATACTCTCTGATCTCACTAATACCCGGTCTTTTAAGAAACTTGCAAGATTCAGGCGCACCCGAACTCGACACATCCGATGAAATCCGCACAGCAGTTGATGCCAAAATACTCGCTGATGGAACCAAAGAGAGTATTTTGAAATATATGGGTCTTCCACTCAACATATTTGAAAAGGGGTCCTTTTTTCAGCCTTATTTACCTTTACAACAAATCGACATGTTGTCCTCCGAACAAACAAAATCCTATGTCGTTGGCACAACCAATCAAATATTCTTTCATCATAAAAGTGATACGAAAATTGATGTACTTGTGAATGTGGAAACGGGTACATTAGAGTTTTACAACCCTCAATTGGTTAATATCGTAAGTCCTACAATTGCGGACCGAAGATGGATGGAAAATATTGTAAAGGTGGTGAATGACACCTGGAATACAAATGGTATAGCCGTGTGTTTATATATATATAAAAAAACTTAATATTCGATGCTGACATAAATCATGTACAGATCCAAGCCGACCATTACAAAACACATATCTTGGATCGGACGATTACCTAAGAGCCAGATTTGAAGAATACATGCTCTCCATGTTATCCAGTGTGAAACATGCACAGGTACATAACATGATGGATAAAGTATACGAGGACAACAATTCCGAAGAGATAATGACGGATGAAGCCGAAGAGCATAATTACCTTTCAGATTATGGAATGAAGTGGTTGAAGGCCTGGTGGGAAACCAACAACTTTATAAAATGGAATAAATACACTGATCATGAAATATACGAGATTGTAGAACCAGGACATCCGGGTATGGGGAATTTATCCATTGCTGACCTTCAGAATACATTATCAAAGTAAGATTGGTTACTTTTTTTTTTTTATGGTCTAGACTGAAATGACTAAAACACCCTTAATTTTATACTAGCCGTCTTCGCGATTTACAATTAAAACAGAATTTAGCACCAATTCGAAACACGCTATCTAAGGCCATGTCGGGTGGCGCAAAAGCTGTTTCAACTGGACGGTCAAAACTCATGAAGGGTGTAGATGCATTTTGGAACGACTCTGAACGTGGACCAATAAACGACGGGATGGAAGGGGTTACAACAGGAGGTAATTGAAGATAACAACCACTTCTTTATTTTATTATACATATATACTCAAAATTATGATAGTAGATCATACACCACCATCTCCGATATCTAGAAATGCTTCATTTGATGCAGAAACAACCACACAACAAGCAGGAAGATTATTCTCAAACTTCTCCTCATTTTTAACAAGGAAATCCAAAGAGTTTTCACTGGTTATGGAGGTAACATTTTTTTTTTTTTTTGTGGGAGTGGATCACAAAGAGCACAACATAAACCAACCACCTCCTTTTAGGAATCCGTGTCCGAAAATAGCTCAACTTCCTCAAGCAGAAGAACGTCGATGTTAGCTACAAAAAAAGTAACCCGGGATAAACAAGTAGCAGATAAACAAGACGATGATGCAGCTGCTTTTGTAGATGTTGGCCAAATGTATCCATTCACAAAGAGTAAAGTTAAGGAGGAAGAAAAGATTCTAGATATTTAATAAAATAATGTATGCAAAATTTATTTTTTTGTGAGTCTAGTATTTGAAGATCTTTTTCTGTTTAAACGCATGACTTTGTTTGACGTATTACAGTTGTCAATAGTTTTTTCTCTTTTTCTTTTTATTTTTTTCTAAATAATAATAATAATGCGTTGTTTCATAACATAAAACGCGTGTTACGTTCTCTCAGGAACAGAAATAATATTAAAAATATAACGCACGGTGCTCATCCGATCCACCAAGCCATAAAAGGCTTAGTAAGTCACTTCTGATGGTACAAGAAATTAAAACAAAAAGAAATTTTTTTTCTTTTTTAACAACGAGAGGGGTTGTTTAATTGCTTCAAGAAGTGTATGAAACAGTGAGCAGGGTGACAACTAAGACCATAAACTGCATCAACCATCCTCTCATTTACAAGCATTATGTTTACGTACTTATCGTTTCATAAATATAAGAACCCTCATCCAGCGGACAGGGTAACACATATAAACATAGCATTTGATTGGAAGATTCTAAACGTGTTGATAAATTATAGGCATCAAAGGGAACTTCAACATGTTGTATCACCTTGATTTTATTAGCCAGTCAATCCAAAGTGTTCTATTATTCTATTAGAAAACTGCCGATAAGATTCTATACATATGTTTATTTTTGGTACCAAAGCCGAAATTCCGTTATATTAAAATGCGATTACATTGCCCGCTAACACTAATATGTGTAAGTCCTGTCTGAAAACAAAAAAAAATCTTGTAAATTGTCACAGCCTAGTCAATCTCAGATAAAACTCATTAAAAAAAAAAAAAAAAATTGTAGCTATGCCAGATATACTTGGGCCAAGCTTTTCTATGCTGTAAGAACTGCCGCTAATTATTAAAGGAGAATCCACCTGAAGATAAAAAAAAAAGCTGGAGCCACTTTTCTATTCGATGCATTTGCAGAGCTAAAAATATCCTGGCGAATCTTGTTAATTGTTCATTCCTCAGCATGTCTTCGCTAAAAGTCATTCAAAATTTTTTGTGTGTTTGTTTACGTTCTCTTTGTGGTAAATGGTATACACAGAGCCCGATCTCCGGAATTTTCTGCTGTTACTTTATTTCATGTAACACTCTCAAACAAATACATCTGCTGAATTTATAAGAGACTACCAAGCTATAATTTGACAAATAAGTAGGCCTGATATTTTTGTTATCCTAAAAAATCATCAGTTTATCAAAAGAGGGGGTGTAAATGAGATGGTATTTTTCCAAAAATAACAAGTTTGACTTGATTTGGTAGGTCACACCCCACATTCAATTCCTTGAATATTGATAAAATGACCATCAAAACATGAAAAAAGTGGTATAATTTCAATCATTTGACATGCTGTTATCTACAAGAAGGAAACACCTGCTATTATACATAATTTAGTGTCGCCTTTATTCTTTATTTTCCTGTGATGCTCACAACGGACGTAATTTTGTATAACCTGAACTCAAATGAGGAAAGAGAGACGTCAAAATTATAAACAAATAACTGCGAAAAGAAGACCCCATTTCATTTTCTCACCTTTAATTCAATAGTGGTACACCGCAATAAATATAAACATGGATGAAACACCCAGTCCGTGAATATAGAACATGGAAAAAAAGAAAACCTTAATCACACACATTTTGTCAAAACAACAGCTGTTGAGAGATTCTGCCATTTTTATTTACACACAATTTTGCCTGGGACGGAGCGTTAAAGTCGTGAGAAAACAACAAATAGTATTTTTCATTTGGCCAAAAAATTTAGAGTTTCTTATCGGGCCGTTTTTGTGGGGGTGGATCGTCGTCGCCTTTTCTTTTTTTTGCTGCACAAACAAATGAAGAAAATCCTATATAAAGGGCCCGTTTTTTTTGCTTCTGAAATGAATAGAAAAAATAACAATCTTTTATCTTTTTTTTTAAAAAAAAAAAACATGTCTTGTCAACAAGCTTCTACTTCCACCTATCAAAACAATAACTCGGGGTGCTCCTATTGTGGTGTCACTGGACATATTGCATGGAACTGTCCCAAGCGTCATAGACCCCGCTAATATAATCCATTGATATTTTTTCTAAAACGCATTCAAACATTAACGTCAAACACACCATCTCTCAAACCAAAAAAAACATTCATATTCACAGCATATTCATTTCTGTATCTCTATTCTTGCATTCCATCATTAAATAATAAAAAAAAAAACTCTTTATTCTAAAGATTTGGCATTAGTCCTTCACCTTTCTTAATTTATAATTGATTGTTTTAAAAATGTGTGTTTTTTTTTCTTTCTGTGAACTTGACTTACATTGTATCCCTAATTAGTCTAGCGTATGAGTCTGGTCTAGATAGTAAAGGCTGCATACAAGTGTATTCGATCAGAGCTAAATACAATCAGCCAGGTGCGTACGAGGCAGATCTGCTATCATAACGTATCCGTCAGTTACACACACGACATGTGTTTTTTTTTAAAAATTTGACATGTTTATGAGGAACTAAAGAAACCGAATGGCATGTTTCGTATTAAATAATACTTGACGTTACAACCTCTACTTGATCATCACATTCATATACAGAAACATGACTTTAATGATAGTTGGTCAAAGAGGCCTTTTTTATCCTTCATCCTTACTGCACAGGGCAAGTGCAGTGATGACCAAAAGGATTTCCATAAAGATAATTCTATATTGATTCTTTTGAGAATATAGTTGTGTTCGATGAGGTTGTTAAATAGTTATTCTATGTAACTTTAAAATTTTTCAGTTTTTTTTTTTATTATTATTATTATTCACAAGGTAAATAGTGTTTGCCAATTGAGTCCTTAACAATAAGGCTGTTTTGTTTTTGAGGCAATTACGTTTATGAAAATAACTGTCAATTGACCGTTTGTTAAAGATTATTTCTCCCTTTGATTAGTGTTAGATAGATGTCTAGAAGCTGATTTTAAATGAATGCTAATGATATATCATCGCATGAACTTAGGGTGAATGAGGCGGTGACATAAATACGAGTAGTTAAATAGCTAATTTTTTTTGTTATCAAAACAGGTGATTGTAGTTCATCTACTCAATGCAACCAATACTTTACATTTTGCTAAAATTTCCACAGGACAAAAAAAAATAATCTTTTATGCAAAATCTTTTAACTCTGAGATGGCTCTCTCGGGATCATTCAATAGAGAAACAGGATTTATAATATAAATGTCATTTTTTTTTTTTTTTTTTTTTTTTTTTTTTTTTTTTTTTTAGTAGGCTAGACTTCTTATCAATGAATTAAACGCGTGAGGCAACCCAAATAGCGGTTTTACAGCCTTGCATTATCACAGCCTTTAAAACTCCGTGTAAAGGCGCTTGTTGTGCATCGTGAGCCACAGCGATATCATGATGTTCCAATTCTTCGTCTCTGAACTGAGCAACAGTCTACAATCCAATATATTTTTTTAAAAAAAAAGGTTTCAAGTTCTTATTTTCTCTTACCTTGCTAAGTTCCACCAATTCCTTGTTAGGATTTTCCATGGCAACGAGCTCCCTTAACTGATCATCATAATGATTTCCAATCACCGTCTCTACAGCTTCTGTGCAGGCCATGGCTGCTTCCTTTCCGATACTAGCTGTCAAATACCCAACGGCGTATCCAGCAACTTCCCATACAGGCCTTAATAAACTAGGTCGAACGCGATGTTGACCTACCAACTGATCGAATCGAGCTAAATGTACTTTCTCTTGATCCCACATCTCTTGAAGAATTGGGCGAAGTTTCTTGTCTTGACCAAGTACGGCAATTTGTCCCTTGTAGATATAATAAGCGCCTACTTCGCCTGCTTGGTCTACGCGAATCATGGGTTGAAGGAACGCGCGTTCTCTGTTTGTCAAGGCACGGTCACTGACAGGAGATGAAGGGCTATGGTAAGTAGCTAAATGGCGTTGCATTGGACGCTGAAGAACAATTCTGACATTACGAAGCATTTTCTTTTTCCTTCCTGCTTTAAAATATGTGGTTAAAAAAATATATCAGTGGCGAGTGGAAAAAACTCGATTTATTTATCAAAAATTGTAGACTGTATGATGGGAGAGCAAGGTACTCTTGGAAATTAGAAAGAGATATTTGACCAATTACCGCTTTTAGTATATGGCGGCTCCCAAACAAAGATTTCTTGACTTCATTGTCTTTAGAAAAAACATAAAGAATATTGTTCGGTGATACACGTTTCGATATGCCAAGCGAAATGGTTGGATTATCTTTCTCTCTCTATATATATATCAGACAGCAATATGTCAACAACACATGCGTGCTATCTTACAGTTCAGACTCTTTTTGGAAGCGTGCGACATAGAGTGTTTCCATGCATGAATGGATGACGTTTACTTTCTTTGATTTGACTTTTTACGGATAGACGGCTTTGTTTTGATTATAAATTAAAACCGACCAAGAATTATAAGTTTTTTTTTTTTTTTTCAGTGATAATTGCAATAACTTTTTAAAAAAAAGTTTATTTTACACCAATCTTAAAAATGATGATTTAAGCTGACGTGAACACAAGTTGGGTTTTTTTTTTTCATGTGGGCCCTTGTTTTGCTCATGGGAAATTTTTAAGTGTAAAAAAAAAAAAAAAAAGTTCTCCGCATTTTTGTTAAACCAATTTTTGAGTAACACGATTCCCCCATATTGACATGTGAAAAACAAAGTGGATTTTTTTCTTTAAAATAAATAATGTGAATTTTGGCTTTCTTTTTTTTTTGTTCTTCTTTATCTTTTTTTCTTATAAAAACATGTCTGATATTAAGGTTGCCGGTTTCCCTAGTTCTGAAGTCTTTGCTTCTCTCAAGCAATCCGTTGATGCTCTTACTCCTGACGCCAAGGCCAAGCTTATCAAGCAAGTCAACGGTATCTTTGAATTCGTTGTTAAGAACGCCGAAGGAAAGACTGAGACTTTCACTGTTGACCTCAAGAAGGATGGTGCCGTTGTCAAGGGAAAGGGACCTAACAAGGCTGATGCCATCATCACCATTAGTGATGCCGACTTTGTTCAATTAGCTTCTGGTAAACTCAATGGTAAGTTATATATTTTTTTTTTCTACATTCTTTCTTTGTGTATATTAGGAAGGACACGTTATTTATCAATTACATGAAAAATTATAGGCCAAAAGGCATACATGTCTGGTAAGCTCAAGATCAAGGGTCAAATGATGTTGGCTACTAAGCTTGATACTGTCTTCAAGCAACTTGCTGGTGACAAGTCCAAGTTATAAATATCCCCCTTTTAATATATATATAAAAAGAAGAAGAAAAAAAAAATTATTTTTGCTCTCCATCTAAACAATTTGAGTGTTTCCAAACTTGTCTACTATTGTATTCACTTCTTCATCACTCTCTTCTTGGGAGTCTTCTTCAGAGTCTTCTTCAGAATCCTCACTGTCCTCATCATCAAAAGCAGTAAAAGCGATATCACGGTTATTATTTTTAAATAACAAATCATCATCCTCACTATCAATATCACTCCCTCTACTAGCTTCTGCTTCCTCCTTCTTGATACGTTCATCTTCTTCTAACTGAGCCAAGTATTCATTTTGCACTGCAAGTACCTCAGCCGAGTCTTTACATTTAGCATATCTCGATAAAAGTCCACCGTTCACTTTTTTGAAGGCATGTCCCCATTTAAATTTACCCAAAAGTGCCTCACCGTGTTCTGGAAAGCCTGTGACATAAAAGAGGGCAGCTAAAGCCTCTACACAGTTTAATTTCCAAGGCTTACCATAGTTGACAGGATTGGTAGCAACCAAGTAAGGTAAAAGACGATCCGTAGGACCCTTAATTTTCGAAAAGGGTACTTCATCCACACGAGCCCAAGAACAATCCACTACACCCACGCCGTATAATTCAACGATCTTTCTATCTGCGGGTGAGACGACCTTTTCACCAATGGGACTTTAAGGGGGGGGGGGGGGGAGGGGTTAATCTACTGCTTGTAAACTACATCTATCCACCTTTTTTTTTTTTTTTTTTTACCTGGCAACAATACCACGGAAACGCTGAGATAATTTCAAAGTTTTCAACATGTCTGTACGAGCTAATTTGACACCTGAACAACGCTTAGGGTCACAATGCTTAAAATCCCACATGGTGACAGGCATGGGAATACTGGATTTATGCTCTTCTTCTACTATGTTGAGAAGTCTGTTAATGACAAAAAAAGTTTTTTTTTTCTTCTTCTTCTTTTAAAGAGCTCATTGCTTACATTGTCCTTCTTCGGCTCCAGGTGCACTGAAGCTGGCATCGGCATACTTATCGAATCGAGATCCTTTTGCCGAACTTTTTTTTGAAATGTCAATATTGATTGGGAAACCCCCCAAAAGTGTCTAGTGTGTGGAAACCAAGCTTACCTGGTATGAGGTTTACCGTGACTTTTCACACTGGCAACTTTACTTCCTTGTGATTTTGCAGTTCTATATTCTTCAGAATTCTTTTTTCCCATTTGTTAATTGTTTTTTTTTTTTAAAAAAAAAAAAGAGAGAGTAATGTAAAAAAAAAGATTTTTTTTTTTTGTGTTTCAAAAAAAAATTAAAATTTATTGAGGATTTTTACGCTCTTGTGCCCACCATTCGGGTAAGAAAGGTTTAATACGAAGAGAGTCGTCCTCAGGTACGGTAAAAGCTACGTCGTTATCCACAAGCGAATTTTGTACATGTTCTAATCGCATTAACGCTAAACCAATGTTATGTACACCGGAAGCCATCTTACCTACGCCTCGTTTACTCACACCTTGAACCAACTTGATATCGGTCTGAGGAAGGAGTACAGAAGGCAATGTTTGGTTACGGTTCACACTTTGTACGGTAGGTACACTTTTTTTTTTTTAAAAAAAAAAAAAACAAAATTATGTCAATCTTTTCTAATTACGGAATGTACATACTAAACAACAACAACAAAGAAAAAAAAACTTACGGATCATCCTTGTGGTAGATTTGTACAGGTACAAGACGTTTACGTACAACACCCGTATGATATGTACGAATAGTTAATTCCTGTCCAACATAGCAACCCTTTCTAAAATCAACTATACATTTTTTTTTGACCACCGTTAGCACTCACTTCTCCTCCCCGAAAACAAAAAAAATGATAGGATATTTACCTCCATGCATATGATCGAAATTTGACTCTAAAGGTAAGGATACTTCAGGCCATAAATCCTTTGTGCCTTCAGGTAATCCAAACAACAATCGACGAATGGTATACTCTTCCTCCTTTAACTGTTCAAACTGACCTGATTTGGGAAAGATGTGTTGAATATCTGTATCCTTCTTGACGACGGCTCGATAACCAAATCCTGGGATACGAGGATCTGTACATCCAATATCTGTATACCCTTGACCTTTCTGAATCAATTCAGGATCACCTTCTCCTTTCAAGGCAGGACCCCACATATGCCATAATCCATATTCGTCGGAACAGTCTCGCATTTTAATCTTGGAGCGTAATAAATAACGTTTGATGTGTCGCATGAATAACGTCTTGGTATCGCTGGGACAATCAATCATGTACTTTGGGTGAGGGAAATTCTCGCCTACGTTCACTGGATAGATAAACGTGTCAAATAACATACGACCCTAGATCAAATGTGGGAGGGGAAAACAGGTGAATATCTATTACTCCCACCATGATTTTGTACACATTTTAAGACTTACGGGAGGGGTTAAAAAGGCGGCATAAAAACCATGACCACCTGGTGAGATCTTTGACATGTCGTTGGTCATTAAACCTTGTAAAAATTTAGGTGTATCGGCTCCATCGAGTTCGATAAGACTACGATTGGGTACTTGACAATAGTGGTCACCTTCATGAAGAGGATCCTTTTCTTTTAATTGAAAGGTAGGTGCACTGGCAAAAGACCGACACAATGTCTCTATAATAAGCAAGATAAAGGAGGGACAGCGCGTGTTAGCCTTTATTTTTGAAACTTTCGACGTATATATATGTGTGTTTACTTTGGAGAGGTTGCTTTACAGCGCGAGTGATAGAAAGCATGAGAGAGAGAGAGAGAGAGGGTGCCACCCTCACACATTTTAATAATAAACATATACATAAGCAAGTCACGGAAGGGATCGGAGGTTTAAAGAGGAGAAAGGGTAAGGCAAAAATAATAATGGATTAACAACTCCAGGGTCAAAAAAAAAAAAAAAAAAATTTGCCTCTTTAAGCTTGAAAATATAAAAAATATACAAGAATGCATCACGGTAAACATTTGCGTCGATTGAACCGTACCTCTGGTCACAGAAAGGCCTTGCTTAGAAACATGGTCTCTTCGCTCATCGAACATGGTCGTATTGAAACCACCGTCGCTAAAGCAAAGACCATTCAACCACTTGCCGATTCCATTATCACCCTTGGTAAAAAGGGCGATGTCGAAGCCAAGAGACAAGCACTCGCCTACCTTAACGTAAAAGAAAATGAGACACAAAAAAGAAAGAGAACACTACTAAATTATTATTATTATTATTATTTTTGTGTCGATTTAGAGCCGTGATATTACGATGCCTATATTATTTGATGAATTAGCACCTCGTTTTGCCAGTAGACAAGGTGGTTACACTCGTATTCAAAGAATCGGTAAACGTTACGGAGATAATGCACCTATGGCTATTCTTGAATATATTGATGGACCCAGTGATATTAAAAAGGAGATGCTTACCAGTACATTAGCCCGCAAGTTCTCTGAAGCAGGAAAGGTTTCCATTACAGAAATCATGGAGAACAATAGCAAGGCTGAAGCTCTTGGTTTACCAAAGGCTCTTATTCGTGATTTAAGAAAGGTACAATTCTCAAATACTGTAGAGTCTATTGAAGGTGCTATTGAAAAGAAGATGGCTGGTTTATAAAGAAAAAGGGGATTTTTTTTGTAGAATAAAAGAACAAATAAAGTAAAAAATAAAAAAAATTGTGTATAAAAAAAAAGAGAGAAGTTTTAAGCCTGGATAAGAGAGTTGGCAGCAAGTGTAATGTCAGAAGCAGTGGAGACTCGACGGACAGGATCTGGTACCATTAAATGACCAGTGGCATCTTGACGGTTCAAAGAGAAATCATCATCATCCAAGTCATCCCTTATTTGGAAAGAACCAGAAGGAGATACAGAGTAAGCTCGATCGGCTGGATAGTGAACTGGACTAGGTAAAGGTGATTCAATATTTGGTATAAAGCAAGGTAATTCAGCATCCACATTCTCATGCACTTGCAGTGAGATAGGATAAGCAGGTGGTACAGTAGCCACCGTGATCGGAAGTGAGATAGAATTAGATACATATCCACCAAACCATCCTTGAGAAGTACCTCCTCCCATCATGATAATCACTTCATAGGCAATATCAATGTATTTACCAAGCTTATTGGTAAAAGTAGGGACTACGTTGTTAGGGATCGTAAACTGAAATATATCTTGATGGTTATGCGCTTGCTTAGGAATCGTCACAAAGAAGGATTCCGTCAACAAGGTATGTTCCTTGTGTACATAAGGTGTACTGACAGAATCGGATGGGGGAAGTGTTGTGGCTACTGCATTGAATGATACCTGAACACTGCTGATCTTGGTATCTGATTTATTATTGGTCGTCATCTTGATAGTGCAAAGATCACCTAAGGTAAAGGTGAGGTTAGGGTTTAGGGGGGATTTCGAGTTATTTAGACCAAAATTTAGTTTACCGGGACAATAAGCAGGTTTAATTAATTCAGCTGTAACCTCAATTTTTTTATCTTCCTTTTCAAAGACTTGAGTCTTTTTAGAAGTTTGAGTCAAGGCGGTAGGGTTGCAAGTGACAAGAGGTAAATAGATAATGGGTACGATAGGAGTGATATGTGGTGTGCTTGTACTGGTATCGAGTATGCCTTGTAAAGTATAATGAATGCGGTGACCAAAAGGTGAGTCATGCATTGAAGGGGGGTAATTAACTTGAGGCAAACGAATAGCAAACAAGTACATGTGACTACCCTGAGACAATTCTTGCGGTTCAGCACCTTTTATTGTTTATGTGTAAGAGAGAGAGAGTGATTGAATGAAGAATGATAGATTACCTGATACCTTGGGTTTACCCCAAACAAAGGTCTCGACAGAAAAGATGGTGGTAGTATTACGAGCACTATCTTGTTCTTCACATTTGAATACAACACGAATTGAATGAGCAGATAATGGCTTATCATCCAATGTAACCATGATGGAGCCTTTTGATGTGATTAGAAAGTCAGTTTATCGCTCTCTCTCTCTCTCTCTCTCTCTCAATTAATAATAACAGACCATTGATGATGGAACCTGGACCATAGGCGATGGAACCAGAGCTTGTGCTCACTTGAAAATTGCGCACATATTCTGTATTCCTCTGAAAAAGCATCATTTTGTATAACCCGGAGTTTATACTTTTTTAAGAAAAAGATAAAAAATAAAAAAACTAAAGAGAAAACGCACAGTGAAGGAGGGTTATATATGAATATTTTTTATTTGTTTATTTGCTTGGCGCTTCTCAACCCCGTGATTCATAAACAATAAGAAAAAATTATACATGAATACATAAACAAATAACAAAAAAAGTGGCATCTTGTAAAAAATTCTTGTAATCGGATGTGAGTCAATCATTTTTTTTTTTAGGCTCCAATCCAAAAAAAAAAAGGTAATTTCTCCGGTTGAAAAAAAAGTAAAAATAATTTTTGTATTCAGGGCTGCCATTTTGGTTGGGACAGTGTGTGTGTGTGTGGGATTATCTGGGTTATATATAAAGGCGATCAATTTTTTTTTTTTTTTTTTTACTTTTCTTATAATTACTCATCTTTTCAAACTTTACAACATGTACTCTCGTATTGCTCGTATTATGCCTACTTCTTTCGGTCCCAAGAGAATGGCTTACTCTGTCGCTGGTATCTCTATGGTCTATGCATATGCACAAGAATGCAAGAATGATGTGATCTTCTTTACCAAGTCCAAGTAGAAAAATTCATTCTTAAATACTTTTCTCTCTCTCTGCCATCATTATACATTACATTTTGCATTCATTCATTATTTAAACATATACAATAATATTACAATAAACACATTTATACAAGTTTTACCTGAAAAAACCCGAGTGATATTTGACAGTAAAAAAAAAAAAAAAAAAATTTATAAAGTACGTGTAACAAAAAAAAACCAATTTTATCCCACGATATCCCATTGTGATAGTAAAAAATGACTCACGGTCGCGCAATTTGAAGCGAACTCGTCTTTTTTTCTCTCGGCTGGCTGGGATGATAATCTGCTTTTTTTTTTACAATAAAAACGTGCACACTCAAAAATTAAAGATCGATAGATTGTACCACATGACAAAAGGAGAATAAAAAGATTATTAAAAAGGAACCAACAAAATGGTAATTCGCGGTATAATCTAGACCAAAGGGGACAATGATGTATGATTTAAAATGATTTTGTATGATCCATTTGATATTGGACGCATTCAATCCATAATTCAAATATTATATAACTGTCAAAAAAAAATTATAACAATTCCCTTTATTTGTTTCCCTATCTTTTTTTTTTTTTTCGCCACATATTTATTAAAAATCGGGCGTAAAATGAAAATGAACGTTCTTTATTTTCATCTCCATGGAAACCAACAAAAAAAAAAAAAAAAAAAAAAAAAAAGAGAGGGAAAAAGAAGAGAGTGATCTGATGATGAGGGCTTCTTTTTATATAGTAATATGATATGTCATCTCCTATTCGTTTTATGATATATAATTTTAAAATATATTACATGTCCTTGCATAGAAAATATGCATCTTTTTAGGACATGGCGCAAATAGAGCATTGCTACCCCCGCCCCCTTTTTTTTTTTTTTGTTGGGGAATAAATATACTCTTTTCTTTTTTTTTTTTGTAAGAGAGAATAATATGTATCAATATGTATGAAATCATCAAGTTTGTTCGTCTTTAGGTAGTAAAACAAAGAAGTGTAAACACTAAAATAAAAAAAAAATATCAGTTTCTTTTATTTCCTCCCTCTTCTTTTTCTGCCCCTCTTCCCTCTTATTTTCCTCCTTCTCCTTCAACCCCTCTTCTAGTCTCCTCATTTCCTCCTTTCATTGTATATTCTATAGTTTGTTTTACAAAAGACCAGCTTGTCAAAAAGAATAGTGTTCCCTTGGATAATATAACAAACTTCTTTTTTTTCCTTTCCCCCTTTTTTCCTCTTCTTTTCTTTCTTTCTTCATTTCAAATCTTTCTTGTGAGTTTTTTTTTTGTTTTTTTTTTTAGTGAGTTGTATACAATAAATAGATTTTTTTTTTTTTTACTTACACTTTTTTTTTTTATGTATCTCTTTTATTTTTATTCCTGTACTAAAAAAGAATCATGTATTCACATCAACATTATAACTACGAACAGAATATGAATTTATCACGCGATAACGCCAATGCGCATCCATTGGGAAGACCTGCATCCATGCCATCACTTTATTCTAGTAACAACAGTCATCATTTCGAAAAGTCCAATACGGCAGAAGAGGACACGAATCATGAAATGATTCATACGAGTAGAAATAGTCTTGATAGTGGCAATAATGATAATAATGGTGGTTCATATGCCAATGCAGGTAGTTGGCAACAACACAACAACGGTTGGAATCACAATAATAATAGTAGCAGTAGTTCTCCACCACCTCCACCTCCTTCTATGAATATGACTACCAATTCTAACAACCATCATCCTACTCCTCCTTCTTCTTCCTCTGCCGTTCAACCAACAAGACCTTCTAGCTTTCATCACGATTTGCCTGCTATTAACTACGACCATAAACAATCCCCCAGTATGTCGTCTTCTGCCACCAATAATACAATGATCTCTGCCTACAACTCTCCCACTTATTTTGTCTCTCCAACAAGTGCAAACTCCACTACACCTGGTATTAAGTTCATCATCACCTTTATATATATATATGTAAAAGCTAACTTGTTCTTTAATAGCGCATCACCATTCATCGGGTTACTCGGCATATGGGATGACCTCAAGCAGCAATAACATGCCTAATCAAACTCGTCATAGTCTTGCTGCTAGACCTAAATTAACAACCACCTTGTGGGAAGATGAAGGAACTATCTGCTACCAAGTGGATGCCAACGGTATCTGTGTTGCCAGACGTCAAGGTAAATTTGAAAGATATATATCTACCTGTGACTGATGACTTATTCTAATAGACAATGATATGATTAATGGTACCAAACTATTAAATGTAGCCGGCATGTCTCGTGGTAAACGTGATGGAATTTTAAAGAACGAAAAAGGTCGTGTGGTAGTCAAGGTGGGAGCAATGCATTTAAAGGGTGTTTGGTAAATAAGCATTAAAAGTACAACTACACCTCCTCCCCCTTCCCCTCCTCAGAAAAAAATTGACACTTTTTTTTTTTAACTTAAAAGGATTACATTTGCTCGAGCGAAATTATTAGCAGCGCAATACAAGATTCAAGAAATTCTGTATCCCTTATTTGTGGATGACCCAAGTGTATTTCTTTATGCAACAGCCTTGCACAACCCCATGGCTTCTAGTAGAATGAATAATCTCAATGGGTTTAGATCTCAGGCTCATTTTAATAATAGTTCCTATACTGGTACCACTACAAATACATGGGATCGTTCTTCTTCAAATACTTCTTCAGCGCCATCAAATGATAATACTATTTCGGGTAAGTTGTTATAACAATGAATATATATATATTCCATCATAACATTATCCCTTATAAACCCCTCTCTCTCTCTCTCTCTTTATACACACACAAATACTCACTCACACTTTCTCTTTCTATTTCCCACCCTCTCCCCCCTTGCTTTTAGCTTATAGAAATGCAGGATTTCATGGTTCAATGATGAATCATCCTATTAATTCAGGAAATGATGATATGTTTATTTTATCACCACAAGTTGACTATAATGGAAGACCACCTGCTGGAGGCCTTGTCACCAATTATGCCAATACTAATACCAATACGAATACTAATAATAATAATGCACCCTCCGGATCTTCTTACTCTGTTTATCCCCCACAAGATCAGCAGCAACAACAACAACAAAATAGAACGGGTAATTCTCGCATGTATTATACTGAAGAACTCCTTGATGACGCAAGAGATATTAAGGAAGTGAATAACAACGAATCTAATACGCCAACCAATTCTTCATTTTATGGTAAGTAAAGACCACTCAGTTTTTTTTTTGTTGAGGACATATATAGAGAAGGCTTTAATGTGTGTGTGTGTTACTTTTTATAGGACATAACAAATCAATATTACCAGGTACAAATTCATTATCCTCTCCTACATCTTCAGAAGCAGGTATATATAAAAAAAGTCAAGCAAAAAAAAAAAAAAAAAAAAAAAAAAAAAGCAAAACAAAACCCCGCATAAACAAATAACAAAAAAAGTAAAATAGGTAAATCGTCTTCTGCATTCCATTTACCACCTTCACGTGTGAGTGGAGAATATGATTCGACTTCTTCCATTACTTCTACCAATACGACTACAACTACAGCGGAGAGACGACAGAGTTTGGTGATGTCTGGTACGGGTAATACATCGCGTGTTTCTAGTCCTCGTCATCATCCTTACATGTCACCCGGTAAAGTCTATACACCTAGTATTATGTCAACTTTACAATCTTATCGACAATCCGATTATAATAAGGAGGATCGTTCTGAATTAGAGACTACTGCTGCCACAAATGATCTTAATAGACACCCGTGGTAAACAAAATGAAAAAACAAAAAAACAAAAAACGCACATACACAAACACTCTTAAAAAAACAAAACAAAAAAAAAAAAATTATATCTTATGAACTCTTTATTACCAACCCCTCCTCCCACAACAATATCTACTAAAAAAAAAAAAAAAAAAAAAATCCACAGCTTTTCTATTACACTTTTCTCCCTTTTTTTTTTATTATTTTAACAGCATTTTTTTTTTATAAGCCTTACATGACCAAAAACTCTTTTTTTTTTTTTAAGTATAAAAAAAAATAAAATAAAAAAAAACTCATATCTAATAATAATATATAATTCCTTGTTTGTTTGCTGCTTTTTTGTTTATATGACTCAACTAGTCTGAACCTGTTCATTCAGGGTCAAAATATAACCCTCTCTTTCACCCCTTAAATCACGTGCGGGATAAAAAGCTATTAATTATCGACGGACGGAATAAAATATAAAAAGGTTCACACACATACGCCAACATTTTTATTTTTTTTTCCTTGTTTCTTTAACACACACAACCTCTTCTCTCTTCTTTTTTTTTATTATCATACAACAAGAAAAAATGACTGCTGGTTATCGTCCTGCCTCACCTGGAAGACCTGGTTCTTCTAGACCCGGATCTCCCGGTGTTCATACTAAAGTAGAAGAAGATCTTCATAACATGGCTGGTATTGATTATGATAAGGTAACCTAATTCCGTTTAAAAACAACGCGTCAATGTGGTCTATATAGTATTTTAACATTTGTTAAAAAAAAATACAAATTAGGTCACTATCAAACATAATCCTTCTGTGGCTGTTCTTTACGAAGAAGCCTTGACTCATGAAGTGGGTACTGTGATTTCTGCCTCCGGTGCATTATGTTCGTACTCTGGCAAGAAGACCGGTCGTAGTCCCGCCGACAAACGTATTGTCGATGACGAGGTAACGGGCAAGGATGTCTGGTGGGGACCTGTGAATACCAAGATGAGTGAACGAGTCTTCTTGATTAACCGTGAACGTGCTATTGATTATTTAAATACGCATCCACGACTCTATGTGTTTGATGGCTATGCTGGTTGGGATCCCAAATATCGTAAAAAGATCAGAGTCATTGCTTCTCGTGCCTATCATATCTTGTTTATGCGTAACATGTTGATTCGTCCTACCGAGCAAGAATTGGAGGACTTTGGAACTCCAGACTTTACGATTTTTAATGCAGGTGAATTTCCTGCTAATCGTTATACCACAGGTATGACTTCCACAACTTCTATCTCTGTTAACTTTAAGAGACAAGAAATGGTCATTCTTGGTTCTGAATATGCTGGTGAGATGAAGAAGGGTGTAAGTCTTTTAAATGAAAAAAAAAAAAAAAGGGGGGGGAGGAAGACTGAGTATTCATGATTATTTTAGGTTTTCACTGTAATGCATTACTTGATGCCTAAAGCAGGTGTACTTTCACTTCATTCTTCTGCTAATGAAGGTCCTGATGGTGATGTTTCTCTCTTCTTTGGTCTCTCAGGTACTGCTTTGATAAAAAAAAAAAAAGGCGTGGGAAATTAAAATTCATATAGGAACCGGTAAGACCACGTTGAGTGCGGATCCCAAACGTCGTTTAATCGGAGATGATGAACATTGCTGGAGTGATACAGGCATCTTTAATATTGAAGGTGGTTGTTATGCTAAATGTATTGATCTATCAGCCGACAAGGAACCCGAGATTTTCAATGCTATCCGATTTGGTTCTGTTCTGGAAAATGTTGTATTGAATGAAGATTCCCGTGACGTTGATTATGCAGATGATTTCCTGACTGAAAACACCCGATGCGCTTATCCCATTGGTAAAACTAAATAATATAATACAAAAATGTTTATTGTAGACTCATCCCATTTTATATACAACTTAGATTATATCCCCAATGCAAAGATCCCCTGTATGGGTGGTCACCCCAAGAACATTATTTTGCTGACATGCGATGCATTTGGTGTGATCCCCCCTGTCTCCAAATTGACCCCAAGTCAAGTGATGTACCACTTCATTTCTGGTTATACTACCAAGGTTGCAGGTACAGAGGACGGTATTGTTGAGCCCACACCTACTTTCAGTGCATGTTTCGGTGCTCCCTTCCTTGTCTTGCATCCTCAAAAGTATGCTACCATGTTGGCTGAAAAGATGAGTGCACATGCTGCTGATGCCTGGTTAATTAATACGGGTTGGGTTGGTAACTCTGCAAAGAACGGTGGTAAACGTTGTCCATTGAAGTACACACGTGCCATCCTTGACTCAATTCATAAGGGTACCTTGACTGGAGGCGAATTTGAGACCTATGAAATCTTTGGTTTATCCATTCCTACCTCAGTGGAAGGCGTTCCCGATGAAATCCTTCATCCTAAAAAGGCCTGGCAGGGTAACCCTCAAGATTTTACAAAGTCACTTACAGATGTTGCTCAAATGTTTGTGGAGAATTTCAAGACCTTTGCAGACGAAGCTAGTCCTGAGACTTGCAATGCTGGTCCTCAACTTTAAATGAGTTTTTTTTTTTTTTGCTGTTCACCCAAAAAAATAAATTAAATTTTTTTTTTTGTATTTAAAAAAAAAGTGTTGTATGGGAAAAATGAAGAAGTGTTACATTATTATTAATTAATTAAGGCTACTTGGTATAGATCAGGTTTTTATTTTTCTTTTTCTTTTTCTTTTTTTTTTTTTTATTTAGAATAAAGGTTGACCATTGACCTTGGAAGGAGTCTAAATAAGAAAGAGAGATGTAAATCATGAAACCAAAAAGAAGAAAAGAAAGTACACTTACCATGACCTTCAAGAACTCCTCATAGTTAATCATACCATCACCATCAACGTCTGCAGAGAAGAGCATTTCATCTACATCTTGTTCAGTGATGGATTTACCATATAAAGCAACACCTCGCTTTAAATCATCACCAGTGATTTGTCCATCATTATCAGTATCAAGTAAAGCAAATACCTTGGCTACACCTTCTTCAGCATTTTCATCACTTTGCTAAGAGGGAGTTTAGTCAAGTGCGGTTTTTTTTTTGGGGGGAAAGGGAGAGGGGGAAAAAAGGGGGGTTACCTTGTTCATGACGACTAAAAAGTCTTCAAAATCAACAGATCCGGTACCTTTGGCATCAGCAGCCTTGATCTGATACGGTAAAGAACGGGTAAAGAGGGATGATCAGACGTTAAATATTCAAATATATTTTTTTTTTTTTTGCTTTTTACCTGTGCGGCAATTTCAGCATCAGTAACAGAGACTTGAGCAACCTTGTAGATTTCCTTCAAAGTTTGGGCATCCATGGCACCATTCTTTGTCATGGATTCAAACTTGCGTTGCAAGTGGTTGATTTCAGCGTCAGTAAGTGTAGATCCGGTCTGTTGTTGAATTCATTAGTTCAACTTATATGCAAATATCCCAGTTTTTCTTTTGTCCTATACTTGCCATAATTGATAAATGAAGAAAAGAGAAAAGGAAATATAAAAAAAAAAAAGTTGGAAATACAACTTAAGGGACTTTTTTTTCTTGCGTCACGTAAATAATATGATAATTATACAAACAGATGGGAGTTTTTTTTTTTTTATTATTCCCTTATAAAAAAAAAATCATTCTTACACTTCTTTGATATAACATGATTTTTTTTTATATGTGTTACCTGACTCCTAAATAAAAAAAAAAGGTAGAATCTGACTCTACTTCTTTTTTTTTTTCGCTCTTATAAGCGTGTGTGTGTTAGGATCAACCCCTTCATTTGACTTTTCTTTTTATATACATATTAATGCAGTGCTTTTTTTAAAGAAAAGCACTCCGTTTCATTTTGCTTAGCCAGAGAGATGTTGTTGTGCCACGCGACAGTTTCCCTTACACATGATTTGGGTACACAACCCCTATTGTGCATTAAAGCGTTGTCTGTAATTTTTTTTTTTTTTTTTTGTTACAGCTCGCACACCTTTTTTTCAATGTTATCCAATCGTTTGAATATTTTTCCTTAGAAACCGTGACGCCCAGTTTTAGTTAAAACAGATGACACACATACAAACACATTAATACGTAGAATAAAACATAACCCGACGATATACAGTTTATTTGGCAAAGTTTTTTTTTTTAAAAAAGGGGGAGAGGGGGATGAATTATGAAAAAGAGAGAGGTAAAAAAAAAGGCTATTTTTTTTTTTTTTTTTTTATATAGAAAATCTAGGGAAAAAAAAAAAAAAAGAGTCTGTTTGTTTACCAAATGGGGACACCTTGGGTAACTTCCTTGGGTTGACTAGCTTCACCAGTCAAGGCCTTGGCTAAAAGACCATATTCTTCTTGATAATGCTTCTTCTTGTGACCTGTGGCGACAGAGGCGGAAGGAGCACGACCAGCATAACGAGGAGTCTTACCAGCATGATGTTCGGTTTGAGATAAAGAGGTAACAAGACGAGGTTGGACGTGTTGCCAGGCACCCATATTTAAGGGTTCTTCTTGACACCAGACAATCTCAGCGTTAGGATACTTATCAGCATGATCCTTCACTTGCTCATAAGGGAAGGGGTTCAATTGTTCGACACGAGAAATGGCAATGTCGTTCATCTTGTTTTGGTCACGTGCCTTCAAAAGGGCATAGTACACTTGACCACTACACAAGATGTGCTTGGTGATCTTTTCGGGCTCGACAAGATGTTCGGGGTGTTCTTCAGGCAAGTAAAGTTGGAAGTGAGTATCACCAACCAATTCATTCAAGTTGGACTTGGCAAGAGGATGACGAAGAAGAGACTTGGAGAAGGGCATGATCAAGGGCTTACGGAATTGACGACAGATTTGACGACGCAAGACATGGAACTGTTGAGCAGGAGTAGAAGGGTAAACAACTTGCATGTTACAGTCTTGATGTTGTCTAGACAACTTTTCGGGAGAAGGATAGACTTCTGGGTTATCATCACACATTTGGAGGTAACGTTCAATTCTGGAAGAAGAATGCTCAGGACCTTGACCGTCATAACCGTGAGGAAGAGACATAACTAAACCAGTACGTTGGAGCCACTTTTGTTCTCCAGAGGCCAAGAATTGATCAACAATCACTTGGGCTGTGTTGGCAAAATCACCAAATTGAGCTTCCCAGACAACGAGAGAGTCAGGGTTGACAAGAGAGTAACCCAATTCGAAACCAAGGACACCATATTCAGACAAGGAAGAGTTGGAGATGGAAAGAACACCTTGTTCAGGGCTGATGTGGTTCAAGAGAGTATGCTTGCTACCATCCTTTTGGTCGTGAAGAACGGAGTGACGTTGAGAGAAAGTACCACGCTCAACATCTTGACCAGACACACGGATGTGCTTACCTTCAGCAAGGAGTGTACCCCAAGCCAAACCTTCAGCAGTGGCCCAATCAATATCCTTACCTTCCTCCAAAGACTTTTCACGGTTTTGAAGAATACGCTTCAAGTTACGATGGATGTTGAAGTTGTGAGGGAGAGTGGTCATGGCCTTACCGACATTTTGGAGAGACTCAAGAGCGACACCAGTAGGGTAATGAGGTAAGTTCTCCTCAGCTAATTCCTTGGGGGACTTGAATCCAGGCCAAGAACTAGATTGCCATTCACTGGTGGCAGGCTTGTAATCCTTGCTACGATTATAACTTTCTTCGAGGAGATCCCAAACACGCTTCTTGTTATCCTTGATATCGGAATCGGTCAAAGATCCTTCCTTCTTCAATTGAGATTCGTAGATTTCGGCAACGGGAGTTTGCTTAGCAATAGCATTGTACATACGAGGTTGAGTGAACATGGGTTGATCAGTCTCGTTGTGACCGTGCTTACGGTAACAGACCAAATCAATGACAACATCCTTGTGGAAGGTTTGACGCCAGTCAGCAGCCAATTGCATGACATAGGTAACGGCTTCAGCATCATCACCATTGACATGGAAGATGGGAGCATTGATAGCCTTGGCAATATCAGTACAGTAAGGAGTAGAACGACTGGAGCTAGGGTTGGTAGTGAAACCAATTTGGTTGTTAACAACAACATGGATGGTACCACCAGTGGAGTAAGAGGGAAGATCGTTGAAACCCATGGTTTCGTAGATGATACCTTGACCGGCAAAAGCAGCATCACCATGGATCAAGACAGCCATGGCATGGTCACCCTTGTTATCCTTACCGTAGAATTGAAGAGCGTGGGTCTTACCGAGAACAACGGGATCAACAGCTTCCAAATGAGAAGGGTTGGCAACTAAAGAAAGAGCAACACGCTTACCAGAGGGAGTAGGACGAACATAGTTCATACCAAGATGGTACTTAACATCACCAGATCCTTCCTCAGAGGGTTGAAGGGCACCGCTGAATTCACAGAAGATGGATTCGGCAGGCTTACGGACAACGTTGGAAAGAACGTTAAGACGACCACGATGAGGCATACCAATAACAATGGACTCAACACCAAGATCAACGGAACGATCAATCTAGAAAAACAAATAAGTATCCTAGTCTTTCTCATTCTCTCTCTCTTTCTTTCTTTCTCTTTCTCCCCTTTTGTTTACTTACCATGGCCTTCATACCGGGGATCAAAGTCTCACCACCTTCAAGACCGAAACGCTTCTCAGAGGGATACTTGGAAGCAACGAAACGTTCAAAACTGTCAGACCAAGTTAAACGATCCAAGATAACACGCTTCTCGGCAACAGAGTACTTGTAAGGTTCGGGAGTTTCAATACGTTCACGGATCCAGTCACATTGAGCACGATCGGGAATGTGAATGTACTCAACACCGATAGAACCACCTGTAAATACACAACAAAAAAAAACAATGAAATTAGAACCCCGTTTAGTTTTCGAGCGCGGCTACCCTAGAATAAAAATAAAATAAAAAAAATAAAAATAAAACTTACAGTAAATCTTCTTCAAATGATCAATGATTTCACGGAGAGTAAGGGTAGTACCAGTCTTGGTGAAGGCAGGTAAGATACCGGGACCGATAGTGAAGCTTCTATCGAGATCAGCATCCTTGAAACCGTAGTAAGTGTGAGCTAATTCGGGAGGAGTAGAAGAGTTTAAATCAGCGTGTTGGATACCGAGAGGATCCAAGTTGGCAATATGATGTCCACGGACTTGATAAGCTCTGGATAAAAGTTGGATCTTCATATGGTCAATGACTTCAGAAGAACCAGCACCGGCAAGACCGTCACCGGGTAAAACAGGCAAACGAGCACTGGCAGAGGGAACCAAAGTAGGAGGAGGTGTATAGGCTTGACTGGGAGAGGCACCGTTGGCCATGTTTTTGAAATATACCTGCCAAGATAAATGAACAGAAGAAGGCTCTCTTAACCAAGCTTCATACATTTCTTCAATATAGTTGGCAGAGTTTCCATGTAAGAAACCATCGTTAGACTCGGGTGCAGCGAAACGTGTTCTGGTGGTGTGGAAAGGTGCAACAGAAGAACGAAGTAAAGACTGACGAGCAATTTGAGGTACAGCGCGGATAGTAGGTCTAAGTGACACTCTACCAAGTGTTGATAAACGATACATTTTTTTTTATATGTATATATATATAAAAAGTAAGAAAAAAAAAAAAAAAAAAAAAAAAAGAGAGAGAAGGGAAGAAAGGGGTGAGTTGTTTTGATGTGGGGTAAAGGAAATGGTCCAAATTATATATTTTTTTTTTTTTTTTTATGAAAGAGGCTAAGTCTTTATTGTTTAAGGTCAACAACCAGAATTCAAATATTATTGGTTCTTATGGTTGAGTGACTATGAAATAATATGTAAGGGGTGGGAATTAATGAGGGGAATGTGTTCGGGATTGTTGTTAGGGATTTTTTTGGGTTTCTTCTTTTCTATTTTTTTTTTTTTTTTGTTATGTTGGGTGTAGTTGGTCCATGTCCTCTTCTTGTTCAATGAGAAGACAAGTGATCTTTTGTTGGATGCGTTGAGTAGTTGATTCGATGTGAAACGGAATGTCACGGAAAATGGCATTGAGGTGTGATAGCCAGAGCGAGTGTAAAGTCGCTCCAAGTAGTTGTGTGAAGTTACAGTGGGGCATGGTGGTGATGAGTCCTTGGAACTTTAGTTGAAAGATACCTTGGACAATGATTGCTTGTTGTTCGGCCTCAGAGATGTCTTGAAGCAGGTTAAAGAGGAGTAAGATTGAAGTCCATACAGCCCATCTTGGTGGGCAGGTAACGAAAACGTGTTCAGAGTTTGCGATTGTACCTGGGCAGATATCACAGTTAGGACTGGAATGAAGGTCTGGAAAGATCCGATGTAGAAACGATTTGACCGGGGCCTTGTTGTGTATCAGTCGGTACCATATGTTGCGTAGGGTTGGGTGTAAGCTGATTTTCCAGAATTTTGTCCAGGCTGTGATTGTGGGATGAGCATTTGGTGGAACTGGAGGGTTTGGTTTGGTTGTCATGAGGGCTCTGACTAATCTATTGATGTTGATTCGGATACCAGAAAATTGTTTGATACTGTCGTAGAAAGGAGTCAACATATGTTCTACAACTGGTGTTAGATCTAGGCAATCTTGTTCGGGTGATATTGTAGAGTCCGAGTTGAATGGGGTATCCGGGGGGAGGCATTGTCGAATGAAAAATAAATTTAGCATGATGTTGTTTCGATCCAATAGTCGGAAGAAGTTTTTGATCAGATTGGGATGTTGTGTAATTGTGGTATGGGTTTTACGGATGATGCGAGAATGGCTGTCATCAATGCGGAACAGTTGATGTGCAAACAGTTTGTTGGTTCCTGGTTTGTTGAGGAAGATATCTTCAGGGTTTGTAGGATCGTTGGGGATCCAGATAGCAGTAAGAGGGAGTAGGAGACAGGTATGTTTGTTGATTTTTAGGCTGGTCAGATCTCTTGGGATAGAGTCCACAGCTTGAAAGATGTTGGTGAAAGGGTTGAAGTGCTGGATGAGAGAGGGGCACCGGTATTTGGGTAAAAGTAGTGGGAGAAGATGGTGCTGTACATTTCCATTGTAGGATCGTAAGCCAAATTTTAAAAGTTTGTATAATTCTGGTGGACAAGCAGTATGTGATCGAAATCCTTCCAGTAATGGTTGTAGCCAGCGCCATTGGAGTACTTTTTGTTGCGTAGCAATATCCAAGACTCCTATTCCTCCCTGGTTCCTGGGTTTCTGTAGTGTTGCTAGCTTGAGTTTAGGAAACATCCGGAACATGAGAAACTGGTATCCAACTGATTGAATCTTGGCAATTTGGGCTTTAGTCATAGGAAATAGTCGAATAACGTGCCACAGAGTTGAGTAGATTAATGAATTTAAAACAGTAGCTCGACCACGAATTGAGAGTTGTCGCTGTTTGTGGATGTTACAGGCGTTTTGAATCTTTTGGATTATGGTGTCAACATAATTATTGCGTTGGGGGATGGAAAAGCATAGTTGGAAACCCAGGTAGCGTAGGGGTGCTGGTGAAGACTGTGAGTGCCATTGAGTGATATCGTGATCTTTCAGAAAGTGTTTCCAGTATTCTGTAGGTTTACCATTCAGTGAGAAGGCTTCGGTTTTGGCATAATTAAGTTTGGCATTAGATGCTTCACTATAGGTGGAGTAGGCGTCCTGAAGTATCCGGAAGTCGTTTTGATTCTTCAATATAATCAGTGTGTCATCAGCGTAGACGCATAGCCGTAGTGGACGGGGAAGTGATTCTTCATTTACCGGTAAGGTGTCGTTGGACCGCATGCCATTGGTAGAGGCATCATTCGGGATTGGTGTTGTAAAAGACAAGCCGGCATATGTGGGATGATTACTAATTGATTTCAGGAACGGGTCAAAAGCTAGATTAAACAGAAGTGGTGAAATGGGATCACCCTGTCTTAAGCCTCGATTTTGTTGGATGGGAGTGGTAAGATGACCATTAATGTTGACTTGAATGGATGTGTTGAAAAACAGACCAGTCAAGGTATTGATAAGTGGTGTGGGATATCCAAAAGCTGTTAAAGTGGCGCGCAAGTAGTCTTTAGATACTCGATCGTACCCTTTTTCCTGATCTAGAAGTAGTCCGACGCAATGATAATCTTCTTCATCGTGTGGTATTTGGTGTTTGACGTGTTCGATAGCTAATTGGAGAGTAAGGCCATGATCTCCAATAAATCGTTCGGGCATAAAGCCTAGTTGTTGTGGGCTGAGGATGTCGACAGCTGATTCCATCATTCGGGAGTTCAATAGGCGAGTGAAGATTTTGCTGTCCGTGTTGATTAGAGCAATTGGACGCCAGTATTTCAATTGGGTCAAGTCTCCTTTTTTAGGTAAAAGTACCATAGATGTTTTCATCCAACTTTCCGGAAAGATTGATTGTGTGAGTGCGGTATTGAATATAGTGACACATAAGGTACTAAAATAGGGATCTACTAATATGAGGGCCAATATTTCATAGGGAATAGAGTCTAGACCAGGGCTACTTTTGGATGGGGATCGTTTGGCACCTTCTAGTATTTCGTCAATCATGAATGGTTGCATTAGTCCTGTAGCAGTATCGCGACTGATTTTGTATTCATCAGTGATATGTGACAATATTTTCGTGACCGATGCCTCTCGGATCGGTTCTGGGTTGAACAGGTCCTGGTAAAATGCTCTAACTGCTTCCTGGATATCCTTTTCAGTATGACATAATTCTTCCGAAACGGGGTGCTTGACTGTGTTCATAGTTCGTTGTTGTTCCCTTTGTTGGATTGTTCGTTTTAAAAATCCGGCAGAGGTTTCGCCTTGTTCACGCCAATGTTTTCCAGCTCGAATTGCATCGATTTCTGCCACCTCCTGTTGAAGAATTCCCAATTGTTGTTCTACGGTGGGTAGTAATTGATTTATTCTGGCAGGATTGTGGGAGTGCTTAAAGATAATTTGGGATCGGCGTAGTTGAAGTCTGTTAATTTGTTTATGTCGCCATTGGCAGTAATATCGACTGAATCGTTGGCAAAACCGTCGCACTTCTCGTTTCATGGCGTCCCATTCTTTTTGAGGAGAATTGTGGGGCTGTTGGGCGGGATCTGGTTTCAATTCTTGAAGCAGTGTGTTTAGCTGTTCGACAAAGCGTTTGTTCTTGGCCAATGTCGGATTGGCTCGGTATATGCCTTTTCCGTGTTTTTTGCTCACCATGGTGAGATCAATGGAGAGTAGAGCATGATCAGTCCAATCAGAGTTGATAAAATTGACTTGGGATGAAGTCATACTGGCTTTGATGGCTAGAGAAGCAAAAATGTAGTCGATGGTGGTGCGGGAGTTACCTCGACTGAATGTGACGTGTGGGTTGTCAATAGAAAAAAGTTCGCTTACATCGTCTGTATTGATACAATCATGTAGAAATTGACCTATTGTTTGTTTCCAAGAGTAGATAGGATTTGGTGGGGATGATTGTGTTGTTCGTTGTGAGGTATAGTGATGATAGTTGAAATCACCTGTGATCAAGAAGTTAGAATATTTAGTAAAATGTTCTATATCCCGATCATCTTTAAATAGAGGCAATGCCATTATATCGCTATAGAATTGTTTTTTTGGGCCCGGTTGGCTGGGAGCGTACAAGTTGAGTAAAAATATTGGTTCAAAGTGGTGATTAATGTGATGTATTTTTACAAATACAGCGTGTTTGGACATAGTGATGAAGATGGGTGTGATTCGAATCATGGGGTTGAAACTAACGATTCCGACGTGTGGTGTCCAAATTGAGTCTTTAGTTTGTAGTTCCATGTTCAGTATGTCGATGATCGCACTGTCTTCTGTTCGGACTTCCTGGAAATTGAGTATGTCATATTTGAGGGAGCGTAGATAACGATTGAATTTCTGTCGAGAGCGTGGGTTTGAGGTTGAAGCTAAACTTCGACAGTTAAGAGATCCAATTTTGAGGTTGGTGCTTTTAAAGTGAGGTCGGTTAGGTTGCCTGTGTATGGTTGCGGGTTGAGTATGATGGTCGCCAGATGAGTGCATAGGGTAATTAGTAGGCATAATATTATGGTTAGTCATAGCGTGATCATATATTGGCATAGGGGGAGAGGTATCGGTAGAGGTACTCATTTATTGGCGGGGGGCTGGTTGACCGACACCAGGCAAGGAGTTATTATACGATTCGTCTTCAATATCCATCTGTTCGTGGACGTTGCTGCTTGGTTGTGTGTTATCACTACCCTTCTCAAATTCTTTACTAGATCCATTAGTCCCAAAATGGTAACTGTCGTCGTTGTCCTTATTTGGTGTATTGGAATCGTTGTTAGATTTGTTGCTATGGGTAGGTCCCTTGTGGAGATCAGTAAGCACCTGATGTGCTTGTTCTTCGGTAATCCATCCTCGATTGACGAAGGTTCGGGCCACTGATCGGCGAAGGTAAATTCGAATAAACTTCAGACCTCTGATGAGACGATTTTGGTGAAACTCGACTGCCTTCGCTGATCGTTCATCCGCCGTAAGGTGAGTTAAAGAGGTGTCGTTAACATGTTCAACTGCAGTTGGATTAAAGTTTGCAATAGGTATAATGTTTGATTTCTTTATGATAGAGTCTAATTCTTCTCGATAGCTATGATGGATCAAAATTGCCACCACGCCACGAGCTGGATAATGAATATCGAGAATGCGGCCATTATCGATTCCCATGGTTCG